TTAGACTCTTCCCAAAACATGCTTTCTAGCTATTTGTGATGCTTTCTGGAGCAGAGCCCCACAGCTCAGCACTGCAGGCTCCTACCTCCCACTGGGTTAATACCCCCCATCCCACTGCATAAGGCACTCACACAGGATAAACACTGATTCCAGTATGCCAGAAGCAATTTGTGTCAAGCAACACACTGTTCAGCTCACCCACAGGTGAGCTCACAGAAAACAAAGGAGTAAAGGCAACATTTACTATTGCCTTTACTCCTGGTCTGCCTGCAAGCCCTTTACCCAAACCAGGCTCTTGTGATGTTCCCTTATTCCGGGTACTGCCACACGCAATTCCCTGGAGCCTGGCAGCCTATGTGAGAAATGCTGTTTGTCTACACCTTCTCCCTGGTTTTCAACAACCCAAGACAATTCTGTGGCCAGCCAAACCTCCAGCCAAAGCAACCCCTTTGGTGGTAGGTGCAGGGGTATGGGAAGACAGTTCTGGCATTAAACAAGACCATTCAGCTTGGAACAGCATCCTACCACATTCTGCCCATCCTGGACTCTCATCAGCCTTTTGTCCCAGCATGATTTCCTCCTTTCTTAACTACAAGCTCCTTTAACAGGTCTCCTGCTTCACATGTAGTCACTACAATCCTGGCCCTCTGGGGCTGCAAGAGCAGAGCAAGACTCCCTGGGTAAACTTGCCATTAGAATGATGAACTCTTCAGGCCAGGTTGGACAGATATTGGGTGCCATGGTTTAGTGTGTGGTGTCCCTGCTCATGGCAGGGGGTTGGAACTGGATGATCTTCAGGTCCTTTCCAACCCAAACCATTCTGTGATTCTATGATTGGTTTTGGTGAAGATCTGATACTAAAAGCTGAGGAAGGTGGAAATGGATATTCATCACCTGCTGGGCTGCACTGTTCGGTGACTGGTTCAGGAGGCAGGGGCTCTTCCCAAGATTCCAGCTGACACATCCCACCTGGAAAGACTCTGATTTTGCAAGCAGTTATTTCAGGATGAAAATGAGCTGCTGTTTCTCTCTGTAAGTCTTGTGAGAGCAGTGTGACCCAGTGTTTTTCACCCCAACTCCTCTTGTTTTCATCCATCAGAGGAAGCAAACATCAGCTCTCTGATGCCAGGCAATTTCCACTCAGGTTTCACCCAACTAATTATTACAAAGGGAGGACAGGAAATAGAAACCAGACTGGGATCACAGAAGACATAGGCTAGGAAAATTCTCAAGTTCATCCTATGTGGTTAAGCTGCCTATTACAAGCATACAAGAAAGATGATTAAAGATGGTTGTTATTGCCGTTTAGAGCCAACAGAAACAGCTTGTACTGGGAAGCACAACACATTGTGTCTGGGAAAGCCCGCTGTAAGCATTAGATTATGTTTGCTCGGAAAAGTGTCAGGCTGAAAGATGGAAGGACTTAAATCTTTAGGCCACTGAACAGCAGCAAAACAAAGAGAAAGCTGAAGGTCACTCGAAACAGGGGAGATTAAACAGAGAGGGAGTGTGGCTGCAGTAAGATAGTCTTTTTAAACACTACTAAACCAGTGCTGCTGTAGGCGGGGAAGCAAAGGGCAGCAGCAGTGAGGAATAACAAGAAGGGTAACAAAAATATCTTATAGAATCATAGAATGGTTTAGGTTGGAAGGGACCTTAAAGCTCACCCAGTTCCAACCTCCTGGCATGGGCAGGGACACCTTCCACTAGAGCAGGTTGCTCAAAGCTCCATCCAACCTGGCCTTGAACACTGCAAGGATGGGGCAGCCACTGCTTCTATGGGCACCCTGTGCCAGTGTCTCACCACCCTCACAGTTCTGATGAGCAAGGCCAGCATCCGTGTCCTGCATTCAGGTCTTGCAAGTCCACTGGGACGGGCATGACCGCTGCATCTGCAATTGCATCTGCTCTCTGGAACAGGACTGAGCCTGCACAAAAGACACTGACAGGTAACACAGATGAGCCACAAGGGAAATCCTTCTGGCCTTTTTACATGTTAAGAGGAAGTGGCTTGGAGTGGACCACACCAGAAGGCTTTAGCAGGGCTGAGGACTAAAACAGCTCTTTTTCCAGCCATTCTCCCTCACCTATAACATGCTCATAAAGTCTCTGTCCTAATTTTCTCTCTCTGTAGTAAACCATATACCAGCTGAGCGTGGCTCTATCTGCAACTGCAGCTGGTAAAGACACATTAACAGTTATTGCATCTAATAATGTATAAAAATACACATATGGATCCTATTAACATACCAAGATCACCTTGGGGTAGCAGGAAAGTGTTCTCAAAGCCTTCTTCAAGCCCTCTCCAGTCCCAAAATCTACGACTGCCACTCTTCTTTAAGGCACAAGCTGGGATGCAGCTGGACAGGTTTTCTTAATCTAGTGAGACAAAGATGCAACACCAATACCAACGGGAGGCACTAAAGAGAGCAGGCAAACTGGAGCATTGCTGACCTGCACACAGCACACCCATCTTCCTGCATCAGCTTTTGCTAATTTTACAAATTACATTTTCCTAAAGGGAGATTTTATTTCAGGTTTTACCAGAACTAGCTCCTTCCACTTGTTCCACTTTTTGCATTAAGTCCCACGATGCTCAGAGCAGAAGAGGATGGGATTCTGTAATATCTTATAAGCCTCCCAGCCAGTATGGAAGGGAGGGTGTGTTCATACAAGTTTTTAAGTAGGCTGATAAGCAGAGAGGGGGAAATGCTCTTGCTGAAGAAGGACAAGAGTTGGTTACTGTCAAGTGAACCTAGATAGAAAATGAGAGGTTCTAGGCTAGGGCAGACTGTATCGCCCTGTAAACGCCCAGTGTTAAGATAGCCAAGGTAATTCCATCAATACAAGACACAAGCTGGCACAGACACCCTGGCATATCCTACAGTCTCCACTACACAGAATAAGAGACAATGCTTTCTGCAGCCCCCATAAAGAGACAACCAGAGCTCTGCATTATTGCAGGAGTCCTTAACAGCCAATGAATAGAGCACTTGTGTAAAGAGACAGCCCGTTCCTCCCACTTACACAGTCAGGAGCTGCCCTCTCCTACCCATGGCAAGAGCCATGCAGAATAAAGGACCTTGCCCTTCAGAGCTGATGCCTTGTTTAAGTCTTAGCAGAGAGGTCCTGGTGACAGGAAAGGAGGAAAAGAGAACAAAACAGCAGTGAGAGCTTTATAAAGGCACCAGGGGAAAAAAGCAGCAGGAAACCTATGGCAATGCACCCCAGGAAACACACTTGAGGCTTGAGCAGAGCATCAGGGGCTGGAAAGTGGAGAAACAGCAAGCTCAATAAACAGTCCAGCTCATCCCTGGAGCCACAGGGGTTTTCTCCACAGTCCAAAACACCTCCTGGACCACATAGAGGCACACATCTTCAGGGTGACATTGCTTTGGTACAGTGAAAAAGCAACAGTCTATAGTGCTAGGCTATGTGAAGACACAGGCTAAGGTCCTGAAGTCTGGATGTCCCACATAAAACAAGGAGACAGGAAAATAAATTATCCCATTTCCTTTCTTGAAACTTGAGGTGAACTGAGGCGCAAAGCAGTTTCCAGAATAGGTGTCTGTGTGTATGGTTCAAATCAGGGATGCTAGAGGAAGAAAACTTGTGCTTCATCCATCAAAGTCTCCAGGGAATCAATCTGAAGAAGAGAAATATTGCTTTCAGTGATGGCACATCTAAAATACATCAGTGTTCTATTACATTTCAGGAATCACAGCACGTATGTTCTTGTGTTGCAGAGCGCTGGCCCCTGCAATGCTTCCAGCTTCTGTCCAAAAATAAAACAATGGGAAAAAAATCTGTATTCCTCCCTGGAAACATTCACACAAACAGCAGCACAGCTTTAATTAATGTAATTAGTACTCCTAATGTATTTCTGTTCTTACAGCTGTGACAACACAAACACCTCTAACTAAACTGCTGCCTCTTCAGTGTGAGCTGGGACATTTTGTCCTCTTTCAGCACGTTCAGCCAATGCCACAAAGAAAGTTTTTCCTAATGGGTTTTCCAAGGGAAATTCAGGATGATTTGATGTTACACAGGAGCCTATGGTTCCCCATCCCAGATTCAGAAACAGTCTAGTTAGATCCAGTCCTGATCATGCTACTGAGAAGCAGCAAGCACAAGCAGGTACCATGGTCTGTGTCCCTGGAGAAGGCAACAGGAAACCCTGAGCTGGGCTTCCATCTGGGAAGACTGAGGTGTGCTCTCAGGCACATTCACAGATTGCTAGGGTATCTATTACACGTGCAGGAGAGAGATTAACTTCTATGAGCAAGCTAGATACAAAGGGACAAGGTGGTACTAAACTTAACTTTCCACCTCCCCTTGCCAAGGTCTGTGCTTTGCTCAGTCTGTGGCTGAACTTGATACCTAAAGCACCTAATGTGAACATTTTTCTTCTGGTGGTGGGGGCTTTAAATACATTGTTTTTGAGAGATGGAGACAAAAAATGGCAGGGAGCAATGGATAAGAAATTCAGTGAGAAGAGTGCAAGGAAAGGCATCCCCTGGACCTTCCCTTCTCACCCCTTCATTACCAGTGGGCTCACAACTGTGCTCTGTCCTGTAAGGTTTCATTTCGGAATTGGTGAAAGCTCTGGAATAAACTCTGAGAAGGGTCCAAGGATGCAGATTGAAAGACAACATGGACATGTACCTGATGGGCAAGAATCACAAAGGCCTATTAACCTTGTAAAGCACACAGATGTGCAGCAGCAATCATTAACTGCAGCCAAGTGCATTATCTCTTCATGCGCCCTTCTCCTGCAGACCCGGTAATTCTTCTCATCCTACACCTTAAAAGACTGGATAGCTGGGAAATGCAACAAGTGAGCTCTCACACCACAAGACATCGTGAGCCTGACTGCATCTACTGAAGGCTGTTTATTTTTCTCCATTAGAAACAGAAACATTTAAAACCCTGATGTACAGTCATGGGGACAAATGAGCCCAGAGCCTGGGAAATCTGACAGCTCACCTCTTTTGCATGTTTCTTCGTTAATTCATGATGGCTGATGCTACGTAGCCATTCTCCCCCCTCATTAGCAATTCCTTAATAGCCACAGGCTGGAAAAATAGGGGCTGTTCAGCCTGGAGAGCAGAAGCTGCATGGAGACTTCACAGCAGCCTTCCAGTATCTGAAGGGGACCTATAAGGATGCTGAGGAGGGACTCTTTATTAGGGACTGTAGTGATAGGACAAGGGGTAACGGGTTCAAACTTAAATAGGTGAAGTTTAGATTGGATATAAGGAAGAAGTACTTTACTGTGAGGATGGTGAGGCACTGGCACAGGTTGTCCAAAGAAGTGGTAAATGCTCCATCCCTGGAGGTGTTCAAGGGCAGGCTGGACAGAGCCTTGGGTGCCATGGTTTAGTGTGAGGTGTCCCTGCCCACGGCAGGGGGGTTGGAACTGGATGATCTTAAGGTCCTTTCCAACCCAAACTCTTCTATGATTCTATATAACTCCAGCCCAAGCCTCTGCTCTGAGGCACTGTGAGGCCCTGGCTGTTCCCTTTCCCAAGGGGACAAATAAACCCCTCTCAGCCTCACTATCTCCAAGGCCAGGCTTTTTTCCATCATCCTCCCACTCTCTTAATTAAAACTGAAAGGAAGATGAGATTGTTTCTACCAAGAGATGGTGGCAGCAGGTCTGAAGATGTTATGAATTACAGAAAGTCAAAGAGGATAAGCCTGCTGAGTGGAAGCAGGGAGGTATCACTTGCTGTCATCAGAGGACCTCCTGGGAAGAGCTGAAACCCTGAGTGTCCCAAAAATTAAGAGTGCAAATTGATGTGTGCTCCTTCTCTCCGCAGAACCTGTGCGTCATATGAGGCAGGGGTAGCTGTTACCACGGCAACTAATCTAATCTTTATTTTAATTCTTGCTGTATTCAGATCACAGCAGATAGCAAATAGCGATGCTCAGAATTAGAGCAATTGTATGTGTGAACACATGCACAGGAAATGTATGTAATTGCATATGTGGCTGTAACTAAATGTAAAAAAAAGTAATGTTTTCCTGTGGGGAATATACTCTTTAAGGAAATAGAACCAAACTGGACTTGATCTCAGAGTCATGCAGAGCAGAGGATCTCACTGGACACAGGAGGAAGACTTTTCACAATGAGAACAGTCAGACATTGGAATAACCTCTCCAGGGAAGTGGTGGATTCCACAACACTGGACACTTTTAAGATTTGGCTGGACAGCGATTGTGACATCTAGTGTAGGTCATCCCAGACACAGCTACAGGCTGGGCAGAGAAGAGATTCAGAGCAGCCCTGCGGAGAAGGACTTGGGGGTGCTGGTCGATGAGAAAATGAACATGAGCTGGCTTCAGTGTGTGCTTGCAGCCCAGAAAGCCAACCGTATCCTGGGCTGCATCAAAAGGAGTGTGACCAGCAGGTCAAAGGAGGTGATCCTGCCCCTTTATTCTGCTCTCATGAGACCTCACTTGGAGTATTGTGTGCAGTTCTGGTGTCCTCAACATAAAAAGGACATGGATCTGTTGGAACAAGTCCAGAGGAGGGCCACGAGGATGATCAGGGGACTGGAGCACCTCCCATATGAAGATAGGCTGAGAAAGTTGGGGCTGTTCAGCCTGGAGAAGAGAAGGCTGCGTGGAGACCTCGTAGCAGCCTTCCAGTATCTGAAGGGGGCCTATAGGGATGCTGGGGATGGACTCTTCATTAGGGACTGTAGTGATAGGACAAGGGGTAATGGGTTCAAACTTAGGGGGAAGTTCAGGTTAGATCTAGGGAAGAAGTTCTTTACTGTGAGGGTGGTGAGGCACTGGAATGGGCTGCCCAAGGAAGTTGTGAATGCTCCATCCCAGAGTCTTGGGTGGCATGGTTTAGTGTGAGATGTTAATGCCCATGGCAGGGGGGGGCTGGAACTGGATGATCTTAAGGTCCTTTCCAACCCTAACTATTCTATGATTCTATGCTTGCCTAGAAAGGTTGGACCAGATGATCCTTGAGGTCCCTTCTAACCTGGTACTCTATGATACGATTCTATGCACAGCCACCTTCTTGAGTGTAACTGAGCCTGCTGCCATCCTAGAGGAAAGGACAGTGCACAGCTTCTATACCTCACCTTTGAATCATAGAATCAACTAGGTTGGAAAAGATCTTCAAGTTCATCAGGTCCAGCCTTTACCCCAGGACTGCCAAGGCCACCACTAAACCATATCACTGAGGGCCTCATCTACGTGGTTTTTGAACACTTCCAGGGATGATGATTCCACCACTGCCCTGGGCGGCCTGTTCCAATGCCTGATGATCAAATACTTTGGAAAAGTACCTTATCCCATCCTAAACTCCCTGTCAGTTCATTCTCTCTCCCATGAAGACTTCTTTGGGAGAAGAAACAGAGGGGCTTCTCAGACATGTCCTAACACAAAAGCCCTGATATCATCCAAAAAACCATAGCCGAGCCAACAATATACCCTTAACACAATAGCACCACCATTCCAAAGTCATACATATCAGGAAGGGAGATGCTTGAGCCTTTCCTCCCGTGACTCACCACATGGCTGGCAAGCACTGAATAGTTGCCAAACAGAAAGCATAAACAGGCCAAAATCAGGAACCCCAAGTCTGAAACCCTTCAAATTCCAGGTGTCAAAATGAGCATGAAGCTCTGAGCAGGGAAGTGTATAGGACCTGGAGCACAAAATCCCTCACACAGAGAGCTAGTGTGCCAGATATCCCTTAAAGCCAGATGCCAGACATGGACAGAATTAAAACATGAAACACATTCCCAGGCATGCAGGTACGTGGGTGATGTCCTGATTTTGGCAGGGAGAGAATTGATTTCCTTCCTAGTAGCTGGTACACTGCTGGGTTTTGCATTTACTATGAGAACAATGTTGGTAACATACTGGAGTTTTAGCTGTTGCTAAGCAGTGCTTACACTAAGTCAAGGACTTCTCTGCTCTTCACCCCACCAATGAGTAGACTGTCTTTATCTCAATCCATGAGTTTATCCATTTTACTCTTCTGATCCTCTCCCCATCCCATTGTAGGCGGTGAGTGTGCAGCTGCTTGGGGTTTGGTTGCTGGCTGGGGCTAAACCACGACAGTGGTCACCAGGGAGATACCACCTCAGGTGACTGCCATCACCACAGGCTTCCAAATGTGACAAGGCAGATCCCCCCCTGCTCTGAATTGGGATAGTTCTCATGACACGAGCTACAGAGCTAAACTGTTTCATGTCAGCTTTGCTTGGTCAAAGGGTCCTTTCACAGGGACTCTTTTTGGGTTGTTTTGTTGCTGTTTCCTTTTACCTGGAGAGCAGGATTTTCCATGAAGGGGTCACAGCCAGAACACCAAACTCTGACACTGCTGCTATCAATGCAAAGCCAGAGGAGAGTTTGCAGACTTATGGCTTAAGGAGACAATACAGAGCAAAACTCATCACCAACAGGACCCATCCTGAAGCACACTGAACCAAGAACAATTCCAGCTAAAGTTCAGCCTGTCTTCTGAGCCACGAGGCTGTAGGAATGTGGTGTCATGGGTGAAAGAGACAGAAAGGAAATATGGAATAGCACTTCTTTAAGCCTTGTAAAGACAATAAAAACCTCTGCCTTTTGTGGGCTGCACAGCACACCTCCAGTTCATGAAGTCCTTAAGCTGCCGATTGCCAAAGGCTGGGGGGTACAGGCAGGGAAAATATACTAATCCCATGTCTTCCTTCAGCACCTCCTCCTGGGCACTGATTGATAGAAACACGATGTAGAGTTAAGACAGGATTTAGCTTGACCCCTAGCAACCCTTCTAATTCTCAGCAAGAAGGCAAGATGCTCCAATCTTGAATATAGAGGATGCTGGGGTTATCAACCCTTCCCTTCAGATGTTATCAAACTAGACCCCTACCTTCAGTGCTGGATCTCTCATTAGTGCAGCAGGAGCCAAACCAGGGTTACAGAATAACAAGGTCCCTAAAGGTGAAGTTCTGTTTTGAAGCAGTGACTTAATTTGGGCAGATGAGATAGCTGTTTAGTGCGACATGGATGTTTGTGCCTGGAACAAGAACAAGCAGGGGAAGCAGCTCAGTAAATGATATGGGTTTAGGTATTTTTAGTAATGTAATGCAGCACTAAGAGGAAAACAAGGAAGAGCAAGCAACAATGAAAATCAGTTCAGCTTCAGTGATACACAATGGGATCACACTGATGCATCTAAGTGAGATCCTTGCCATCACCTTTACGGGCAGGTGAGAAAAAATCCATTCCTATGATCCCCCTGCCTGACCCAAACCCAGACCGGGGCTGAGCACACCCCATCCCAATGGATTTTAACCCTTTTATCACACAACATATCCCTTTTCATCCATCTGCTCCTGGCTGCTGCTGGGACTCCCATCACCTCTAACTGCAAAAACAGCAGCTGCAATTAATAGCACACAGGCACTCTCAATTGCTCATCTTGGCAGCCATCTGGCTTCATACCACACATAACCCTGCTCTGCAAAGCAGAAGGGTATTTTATCTCCTGCCACCAGTAGCTGAAGGATGGGCTAAGAAACGAGCAAGGCTGATGCAAAATAGAAGATAGATTATAAACAAGCAAGAGGCAGACAGAAGTATGCTCAGTGAAGCATCCATACAAACAAAAGGGGAACCACCTTCCAGAAGCAACAATTGCCATTTTGCATTCCCTGAAGACCGTCTTGAGCAGTGCTCCATGTGTGATCAGTCACTCATTTTGTCTGTTTTCCACTGGTTTTCCACTGTCACTTTTGTTCATCTCAATTTCCCTTCTCCAAGCTTTGAGTGCAAACAAACATTAACAATTCACATCTTTAACTGCTCTCATTTGGAGCAGTTCCCTGGATGTCCATATAGCAAGATTGATTTAATCCACCCTTGTGTCTTCAAAGGACCCTTTCATAGCAATTACAGGCCAGATGAATGGGATTTTAATTTCCAGTTAAGGTAGCTTACCTCAATTCAGAAGCACCAAATTTTACCATTCAGCTCAGTGCTCTGCATTTTGTGTACGTGCTGGCAACACAACGGGGAAGAAATTAGGAGACACATCCTGAGATCAGGACAATCTCTGGGAGCCAGGTTCATACAGTACCTAGCACAATAGGGACCATTGCCAGGTTTTTGGATACACGTTTTTAAAGTCAATATTTGAGGTAAGAGTCTCTGCCACATTAAGCATGCCATCCTCCACGCACTGCTGAGAATTTGGCCCCAAGACCCAAGATGAGATGTGTTGCAGAAAACATCACACAGTTAAGATAACACCATTGAACTCGGGTGCAGCACTTGGTGTAATTTTAGTTCAGCTGCATAATTTCACTGGGCAAGGATTCAGGAGGAGAGTTCTGGTGTCGGGCAAGCTGCTGGCTTGTGGAAGGCATCATCTGAGCCACATCAGCTTATGTTCCTGCCTGATGCCCAAGCTATGGTAGTTATTATCCTGCAAAGGAGATGAAGGACCTTGCAATTTCCTCCCAAGCGGAACTCATCAGGCACCCAGCGCTGCTGAGCCCTGCTCTGGTAAGCAGAGCCAGGCATCTAGGAAAGAACAAATGCAGGGAAGGCTAAAAGTTTGTCTGAAACATGCCAGTGTGAATCTGGATCTGAACAAACTCAAGCCAATAGGATCTTAATGCTATTTTAAAAGGGATTAAGCAATATTCAAGAAGATATTGCATATATTCATGTTTTTAAATCCCATCTGTGTCACATGGACCATAAAATATTCAGCTTTGGGGGAAAAAACCCAACAAGTTGGCAAAGAAAAAAAAAAAGCTGTCTATATAAACCTTTATTCACATAAACATGGTAAGAAGCAGAGCTGCCAACAGATACACCTACACCCATCCTCTGAATTAGTGCAACTACATCTCTTCCATAAATTAATGTCCTTTCTCCCATACAGCTTTCCTGCTTGCAGCTACTGAGACAAAATGAGGTTGCAAAGAGATCTCTAATACAATATCCTTCCATGCACACTTCACTTTCATACTCTGTTTTCCCATGCAGCGCTTGGGTTTCTTTCATTCTCTTTATTTTTCCTTCCTTGCCCACTTAAGTTAAGACAACAACATTTTGTTCTGTATTTCCACGGCTATTCCATGGTGATTTGTTAACGGTGCTGGGTTTGCAGTCAAATGGCTGGAAACATCAAACGTTGGCAAGCTGCTTCCCTCATTAGGGAACACAGCTCTCGAGTGTTCAAGTGCAAGCCTATTAGCTGAATTATTCAACAGAAGGAAAAAAACAAACCCTGACAAATACAATAAAAAGCAGCTACAACAACAGTGGGGAGGGAAGGGAAGCTTATTGACTTTGGTGCTGTTGGAAAAGTTTGCAGCATTCCTCAAAACTCAGTTTGGGATTCAACCCGTCTATGGAACTCAGGCAAAGCTGAATGGCTGCAGAGAAGCAGACAGAAGCTGGCATTCCTAATTCAAATACTGGACTGTATTGTTGCTGTCTTGAACTGATAATGAAGAAGCCCAAGGGAGGGATATTTCCAAAACCATAATGCAAGGGATATGCTTATGTGCAGTTTGTGAGTAACTGGTGGTGTTGGAAGCCTTCCATATCCAGCCTCAGGCTTTAAGCACTGAAACAGCTCACCATGAGGATCGAAGTAATAGTTTGTGTGTGTGTTCTTATTGTGTAATAAATACCATGTAAAGCAGAAGAGTTTAACCACCCACAAGAGAGGAGTGTGTTGCCTTGTATGTGCCAATGGCAAGAGGAGTTGACACGTGGCAGCTTGTGCCCTTAACAAAGCTGAGAACTGGACCAAAAACCCTGATGAGAAAGCCAGCATTGTCTGCATTGTCTGCCTTCTATCTTCATGTAACCTGGAAAGAGAAAGTGCTTGGTTCAGGCGCTTTCTCATGTGGGTGCAGGGTGGTCGAGACCTTGAGGATGCTCATATTGCTGGAGAAGTGCATGCTAGGGAACAAAACCAAGAGCTCAGTCTTAAGTCCTGAGAAAGGTGAGTGAGGACACAGCCTCTTACAAGGATATTTTTTACCTAAGAGGTAAAACAGACTTGGTATCTTGGAGACAATGCAAGGTTATGGAACAAAGTCCTCCACTGGAGATATCAGTATGCAGGCTGGACTGCAGAGGAGAGCATGGACAACTGTCCATACTCCAGAAGCATCGTGGAGAGGGGAGGAGAAGGGTGTTATCTGAAGGGCTCAGAAACAGGGACTGTGTGATTTAGATGTCAGCTGGAAATCAAAAGTAGAAGAAATCTGGGCTTGTCAAAGCATTTTGGCTGTGCCAAAAATACTCAGAAATAGGGAAGAAAACAGAAGAACACATACATGAGATCTCCAGTTTTCCTTACAGCTGTATACTTCCTGTGCTAAAGCAAAAGGCAATGAGCTTTATGAAACTTCATAAGCTATAAGGATCTGCTTATTTTCATTGGCATGTGATGTTAAGAAGATAAAACCTGGAGATCTGGGAAGCATGTCCTTTAGCTACTTCAGGGCCTGAAAGATCAGTGCCGCATATGCAGCAGGCAACTACTCACTCTTCCTTTCACCCAGGAGCACTGGACACATGGATTTTTGTGAAGAGACTGGTTCTACATATATCTCATGTAAAAGTAATTTCAGTGATGTTAGTTCTTGACAGGAATCTGCACAGAAGACAATTTTAGCATCATGGTTGTGGTGACAGCACAATATCTAACAAGTGAGGGGAAAGCAGCAACAATAGAATTCTACTCAATTATCTTTAAGGTCACTTCCAACCCAAACCATTCTATGATTTTACAAATTTATCAAGCAATTAAACCATTTTAGTTGATGACCCAGACAGAAAGGGATGTCAGGCAGTGAGATCTGATGATGACACTGAGCCATCACTTGTAAGAGGACCAGAACATCAGATTCATGATGCTGAGGACCTCAGTAATGTAACAGGGCTGACATTCAATAGCTGACAGCAATTCCATTAGGGAGCAATTAGAATTTTTGCTGTAAAAGTGAAGACTCGACCCCTGGTCTGTTGTTCCCAGAGGAGAGGAAAGGACTGGGTGTACAGAAGCAAGTTAGTGGCTGCAAACACCAAGACACCAAAGAAATCTAACGTAGTTCGTGAGAGATCTCTGGGGAGCAGGGAAGCATCAGTGCTTACATGTAAGACAGTGACAGACCATAGTGCACACAGCTGGAACCAGAATGGGTGGGTTTTCCCACCCAAAGGGCTCAGTGTATTTACCCAGACACACAAAGGCTGAGAAGGAATGGGATCAGAAGGAATAATGTTTAGAAAAGTAGAGCTATTTACATTGGAAGATGAGGTTATTGGTAGAGAGATTCTGGTAGCTACAGATGTTTTCAGATGTTTCCTTCAGGTCCTTCTTCAGCCTCCACAATGACCCAAACCTTTCATGGCATCTCTATGTGGCTTTGGAGGTGGGAAAGGCAAGGTGCCCTGACTTCCAGCACAGAAACTGAACTAGAGGGTTTACATCAATTCCAGCCCTGCAGAGAGCTCCAGGGAAGCCATGAGACACAGGCTGAACAGATGGAGCAACACTATTTGGAGGAGCTCCAGTGCCAGCTTAGTGTCTTCCCCAGAGACCCCTTAGATCCATCATTCTTTTGGATAACGTGTGGAGGGAAAGCACAGAATCAAAACACTAACAGGATCACTTTCAGATGACAGCGTTTGGTGTATGTTTGCAGCGCTACACTGCTGATAGCTGACATGTCCGTATCGAGAGGGCATGTCCAAGTTGACATCTGATTTCCTAAAAATCTCCCCCCTTTACCCCAGATTTTTTGAATCAAAAGGAAATCAGCCAAAATACAAAACTCTGCCAAATTGCTCCATGAAATCAAGAAGGCAGGGGAGAAATTCTAAGTCTTGAGGCACGTTTGGCTTTGGCATTAAGTAAAGCAAAGGCCTTGCTGCTCCACAGGCAACACTTTTGGCATTAGGAAGTGTGCTGACACAATCTGACAAAAGGTAATTAATCAGAAGCCTGTGTAATTGAGCATTCCTGCTCCTGCTTAATTAATCGGACCAGTCCCCCTATAAATTCATAATCACAGCCTCTGACTGCAGCAGACCTTATTTATATGCCTGAGAGGTTCCCAGTTAGGATCAGACAGGCTCTTCCATGTTTCAACCCTAAGACCTAGGGCTGTACTCAAGCCTTTAGTACAGGTACCCCTGCTGGCTTTCTGCAGTGTAACTCCAAAGGAAAATCAGATGCTCTGGTAGCACATTTGATGGGAATATCAGGATAAAGGTTTGCAGAGCTGCCCGAGTGGTTCAGACCTACAATGAAAAGCAGGGCGATGGCCAGACCTAAGAGGGCCCCCATGGTGTTTCCTGCAGGAGGTGCAGCCTGTTCCAGTTTCAAGTAAAACTTGAAGTAGATTGCTGAGAACATGGGGCAGTTTTAGAGATGTCCCTTCCTGCACGGTACTGGAGCTGAGAGCAGGTGTAGAGATGCGAAAGTGCTCTGCTTTGATGAAATGCCACGAAAATGGCTTTGCAGAGCATCATAGCACTCTGAGGCAGTTAAAGGCAGGACACGAGGGAAGCTGCATCCAGCTGCTCCTGGAAGGACACATGAGGGATAAAGGGGATTTTCCCTAGCCAGGAGTGACATGATCCTTTCACAAAACACAGCAAACAGCATGTTCCGGATGGCATCCCCCTCTTAGCTTGGAGACCATTGGCAGTTTGCTGTTAACACAGCCTGGAAGTACCCAAATCAGGTTAAGATTACTCTGCAGAGCAGCAAGGATACAACACAGCTTCATATAAGAGGAAACCAGTCCGTGTGGGTCCAGTACTTGCTGAAGTCAGCTGGAAGCTTCATACAAGAGTTCAGTGTTTAGGATGAGCACGGAAGGCATTTGCTCCACACAGTTTTTTCATGGCAGGGATATATATTTCTCTCTGAAAACAGCAGGTCCCCCTGGGTCACACAGACACAAAAGAATACTCATTTGCAGCTTAGCAAAAAGAATCACTCCCAGACCATCCCAACGGCACTGAGTGCAGCCGTTTCTGCACATCCCTCTCCAGCATCACTTGTTGTATCAGCCCAATGCAACTCTTCACTTTGATCACCTCCATCTCTGCTAGAGAAGGCCAACTTGCTTCATCCACCATCACTAAAAGCAACCAGGCTGTTGGTGTCAGCAACAAAATCCCTAGCAAAGCTCAGTGACAAGCAGGACACAGGTCTCCAGCAAACAGCTATTCCTTTTCATAACAAAAAGGCGTTGTAACTCTTGCATCCCCAATGCTATCAGGTACCACCCCAAAAGCAATTCTGATTTCTAATACAAAACAGCAGGCACAGCAACCACAAAACAACAGTGTTCTGGTCACACCAGGTGCAATTAAGCCATGTAAAACTTTAGTACAGAGACAGGTATGACTTTCATTGCCCCCAGTAACTTTTAACACTGGAACAGTTTATATTGGGATTATTCCTATAACTCAGCTCTCTAACTGAACAGGACAGAACTTGACCCTTACCCCATTTCCAACCCACCAACCTGTGTCTCAGTCTGTGTCTGTTTTCCTCCCACATGTAGCTCCACAAGCTGTTCCTCCATGTGGTTCCACAGAGGCCATAGCAGCCTGCAAGAGCAGACTAAGCTAAGCAAGTGGATCTAGAGGTGCTGCAAGGGGAACATCTGGATAAAGAGTAGGGTGAAACTGGGAAATTAAAAGAGGAGCAGGAAATAAATGAGGCAACTCTGCTTTACCTATAGGTAGCCTGGAACTGGGTGCAGGCATTACAGTGCTCAGGGCAGCTGACCAGAAAAGTCTCTGAAGTCTGAAGAGTGATGATTTAAGGTGATGGGAGACTGGAGGAGATACGATTCACACCGGTACGCATACGTAGTGTTGCCTAATAACTGGTCATAAGATTTTGATCGGATGTGGTGCCAGCTTAGGTCATGAGCTTTGCTCTGGATCAAACAGAAAGCATCAGACTCCAAGCTCCTCTGCCCCCTTTGCCACGCAGAGTTCTTGCTCTTGCCCTGCTTCTCACTTAGCAGAACAGTCCAGGAGGCCCCATTCACTTCTCTCTCACTCCAGACTGAATCAAAGTTGCTGAATAGGGGCTGCTTGTCACCTTGCCAAACTTTGCTAAGCAATCTCAGTGTGAAAGCACCTGTGACAGGCAGCAACAGACAATCTAGCATCAAATTAATCACCTGGAAGGGACCCAGCAGAACACTGGCACTCTGTCTCATAACCACTGATGAGTCAATTCTCACCATCCTCAGTGTTACAGGTGTTGGACTGGGTGCAGGGTCTGATTCCCTGAACCAGCCCGTGCCAGCCAGTCCTCATGAAATCACTTCAGGATGAAGCATTTTAAGGGCTTTTATTCCATTGGAAGGGGATTTGTGGCTCTGCTGTCTCCCTCCAGACTCAAACCATGTATTTTTGCACACAATGCCAGTGAAATGCCACCATCGCTTTTACAACTTCTGTTTGTTTGGTTTGTTCCCAGGGAAGAGCATCTCAGTGCTGGGAGCACTGCAAACGCACTGATTGAGTCTGGCAGGGGTAACCAACACACGCATCGCATGGGAAACAGAACGAAGGAGGGAAGGAAGGGTACAAGCAAATCTTTCTTCAGGGTTGTCAGGCCGTTCAGTTACCATGGCAGTATGTTTCCATGGAAGCCAAATTTGAAGCCTGTTGCTGCCACTGGAGTGGCCCAAAGAAAATGATTAGTTTTGAAAATGAACCAAGCTGCTCTCTACCTTGAAAGCCAGCCCACCCACAGCCCTCAGAAACACACAGCCCAGCAGCATCGTTGCATCCCTGATAAAGGATTCAATAAACACGTGGGGAAAGGAGAGACAGAAAATACCACACAGTGAAAACGAGGAGCTTCCTTTTATGCAAGCAACAACGCAGAAACTGCACTGCTAAGCACAAGGCTGAAGGCACTTTGTGAAATACTGCACATAAAGGTCAGCAAAATCCTCAGACCATCCTGTGCCACTGGCTCCCAAGGGGATAGAAGGGGGGGTACTTTGAGACTAGTGCTGTTTGGTTGCCATTTGTTTTAAACTACCCCCCTTTCATCATGCTGATGCCTCTCCTTTGGTTTCCTTACCCACCTCCCAGGGAAAGCTTAGGGAGAGCAAGGAGAATTCTAGTCAACATTAAAGATCACCTTCAGCTGCTTTGATGCTCAGAGCACATTTTCGAGTTCATGGAAGTCACTTTTTGCCTTATCCACCTCATTTCCCCACCAGAAAGAGGTTTTCTGCATCCCCTTTGATTTTTCAGAAGCCAGGGAGCCCGCATAAGCTGCCTGGTGTAACTGGAAAAGCGTGGCACATACTCAGCCATTTCCAAAGGGGAGATGGTGGAATTCAGTGATGGAGTCACATTCTACAGACTGCCTGGACTAGAGATGTTGAAGCAACAAGAGCAAACATAGCACTACTTTGAAAAGGACAGATCAGAGTCTCTGGATTTAGTGACTTTTCACCTAGAAACAAGTGCCTCTTCCACACTGACATGAAAAAGCATCAGGAAGGCTATTGAATTAGGCCTTCTGGGGATAAAACACCTGAAGAAAGCTGAACTCTCATTGAAAGATAAAGATCAGAGGGAAAGAGGCATCTGTGATGAGACTGCTAGACTGTCAGCTGTATCTGATTCACTTTTTAAGGCAGAAAAAGATCTAAGACCTGTATCGTTTAAACATAGCTCTTGTGCCACCATTCCAAGATCTCCTGTGCTCTCTGTTACCTCTCTTGTCCAGGAGAAAGAGAGAAGCAGATGGCTTTAAAGCACAGTTTGAGCAAAAGCATTTGATGTGAATATGGCAGAATTCCTCTGAACGGTGAGTACAAATAAAGGGTGTGCCACCCAATTTGGGATCCCTGCTCCATTCAGGCTTCAGTGGAAAAGGAACTAAAACCCCACCTTGTTTGTCTTGAGTGAGCTGATTATGTCAGGCACAAACCTCACAAGGCAGTGGGGAATTGCTGCATCCTGCCACAAGAAAACAACCTGTTGCAAAACAACCTTCCAAACTCCATTATAAACTCTCAGCCACAAACCTCCAAAGAAACTAAAGCAGCAGTCACAATTACACTAGACCTGAGAGCAGGACAATTGGCTTAAATCAACACCTTGTCCCTGTCTGGGGAAGTTTTCTCAGTTCCCAGCATTACACAGATCCAGCATTAACCACTACCTGCTGCTCGCCTTCCTCTCCGCCAGAGCTTACTGCCTTGCAGAAGGAAAAACATGCACATTTTAGCTCTTTAGCCCGAGATCGTGGCTTCAGGTCCTCAACAGATGATTTTGCAAGCATGCACCAGCGGGGAGCAAGGATGCTGTAACACAGGCCAGGTGTGGACGAAGCTGCTGGCAGCACCCACCAGGCATCCAAGGCTATTGCCAGGGCCAGACTGGGCCCTGAGCCACAGCGGAAAAGCTCATCATAGCCAAACCCAGCTGGGCATTTTCAGTGTTTCACACACCAGTGCTTAACATCCTTTGCACTGCACATCCATCAGCTGAAGCTTTCCCCTCATGCAGAAGGAGGCTGCAAATCAAGGGGTACTTGCACAGCTAGCCTGCAATTCACCTAGCCAAATGTAATGGCGTGAGTACCCCCAAACTAAGGTTTTCTTAGGGCATTTCACTCTCCCTCCAAGCTCCCTTTTGTAAACAGAAGCAAACCTGGCTAGCAAGCCAGCTTCTTCCTCACTGTGCAAGACACATGCACTGGATTCACTTTCCATGCTGTATTTTGGAGAGAGAAAGGGAAGGACTAATTGTACAGACCAACAGTTCACCCAGGAACAGCAGTTTTGGTCTTTGCTCAACCAACTCACTCTCTGGGGCTACATCTACCACCAGTGAAAGGCAGCAGGGGCAGAGCAAAACGCAAAGGACTACTTACCAGTGCTGGAATAAACCTACCAGATACAGCCGTTCCTGGGCAAGCAGCACCATTAACATCCCCTTCTCACACCTCCATGCTAATGCTGCTGCTTAGACTTCTGGAGCCTAAAAGGCTCCCGGGCTCCATCCAAGAGGTATATTTTGCACTGCACCACCACTCCTGGCCAAGCTTCAGTTTTGCTTCATGCACAGATCAAAGGGGAGAACCATGCCAAGTGCAAGGTCCTACACCGGGGTCGGAGCAATCCCAGCCACAGCTACAGGCTGGGCAGAGAAGAGATTCAGAGCAGCCCTGTGGAGAAGGACTTGGGGGTGCTGGTCGATGAGAAAATGAACATGAGCCGGCTTCAGTGTGCACTCACAGCCCAGAAAGCCAACTGTATCCTGGGCTGCATCAAAAGGAGCGTGACCAGCAGGTCGAAAGAGGTGATCCTGGCCCTTTACTCTGCTCTCGTGTGACCTCACCTGGAGTATTGTGTGCAGTTCTGGTGTCCTCAACATAAAAAGGACATGGAACTGTTGGAACAAGTCCAGAGGAGGCCATGAGGATGGTCAGGGGACTGGAGCACCTTCCGTATGAAGATAGGCTGAGAAAGTTGGGGCTGTTCAGCCTGGAGAAGAGAAGGCTGCATGGAGACCTCATAGCAGCCTTCCAGTGTCTGAAGGGGGCCTATAGGGATGCTGGGGAGGGACTCTTCATTAGGGACCGTAGTGATAGGACAAGGGGTAATGGGTTAAAACTTAAACAGGGGAAGTTTAGATTGGATATAAGGAGGAAATTCTTTCCTGCTAGGGTGGTGAGGCACTGGAATGGGTTGCCCAGGGAGGTTGTGAATGCTCCATCCCTGGCAGTGTTCAAGGCCAGGTTGGACAAGGCCTTGGGTGATATGGTTTAGTGTGAGGTGTCCCTGCCCATGGCAGGGGGGTTGGAACTTGATGACCTTAAGGTCCTTTCCAACCCAAACTATTCTATGATTCTATAACATGAAATGTAACAATGCAGGTAAGGTCCTGAACTCACCAGTGCTCAGTTATCCCTTATGACTGTCAAAAGGATCACAGGATCCCTTCCAGCCCTCTCCATGCAGTTGTATCTTTATTTTACTTCAAGAAAGCTGAGATCACAGGAACCTCCAGAGATTGATAAAGCCACAGAAGAGGGAGGTATGCTTAGCCTTCAGAGACTTAAATAGTACTAAATCCAGTGTCACACAGAGAAAGAAGCAATTCTCTATTTTACTATGTCACCAAAAATTAAGACCAAGAAAACCACACAGAACTGCCAATTGTGTTAAATCCATAATTTAAAGCATTTTAATAAAAACAAAGCAAAATGCATTTCATAATCCATCCACTAGCACAATGTATAAAATCTCTGAAATAACAGCTTTAATATTAGTCACAAAAACCAACATGTTGTATAAAAATAGCTGGATGCACACTGCTAAAAGATAATGTAAAACTGCTCTGAATAGGCCATGCAAAGACATTCAGCCTTGACCTTTCAATTTCCAAGCACTCAGTGGATCTGCCACTTTATTCCTTCTCCTTCTGCTTGGGAGGGTTTTGTGCTGGCATTCAGGGGCCTCCTCCTCTCCCTCTCCCCCTGTACACAATGTCCTTGCAAAGGGCTTCAGAAATGGCTGGCGAGTTAAGGTGCATCGTGTTGGGCATCTTAGTGGCCCAATTTTCACAGCTTACGTTTCAGAAAGTGCTCAACATCCACGTCCTTCCCCATGGACACCTCACCTTGGTCACTCAAAGTCTTCAGCTTTTCAGCCAGTACCCTTCCAAATTACTCCTGACCCCTTGTGCACCACAGCAGTGAAACTGGAAGACTCTATACACCCAGCCCAAGATCACTGCAGGAGCAGAATGTAACAGCTGCAGCACCATTTTTGTACAGATGTACCCCTGCATTTGATAATCCTAACTCATTCACACATCAAAGCTCACTGAAGCCTGTCCATTCACATTAAGAACTCCGGGTAACACACATGAAAGGAGCTGGAGAAACATGAGGTTACAGAAAAGAAGATGTAACTGAGGGTAGCACTGATATAGAAAAAACACCAGATACTAAATATAACCTGTTATATAAACAATCTGTTAGACTGTGGTGATCTGACTTAACAGTGTAACTTCCAGAGAAGGGGACAAACCAAACCCAATTACAAAAAGAGATGATACGTTTTAGTTAAGAGCAAAAAGATTGCAGATAAAGAACATTTCCAGCTTTCATCCCACATGCTGACACACAAACTATCAACAGGGTAAAAAAGCAACCCAGTCCTTCTCATCTCTGCAAGCCTGAGCCATCCCTGTGCCTTTACCTCATACAGTTTAAGCCCAATGAAGGTAACAGGGACAGAGATCCACTCAGTCATTATCTTCGCTTCCTGAGTCTACAGAAAGAGAGGAGGGCACTGCTGGTTGAGAACAGTCCCTGCTGCTGACACAAGCAGCAGCACCTTGCAAGACGTGCCGCCAAGGAGAGCAGCCATAGGCAGGGAAAGCCTTGATGCTCTGCCAGGCAAAGCAAGAAAGCAGGTTTCCTTGTTTTCAAGCTCACGTTTTAAAGCATGCTCTTCTAAGAGGAAAATAAGGAAAGCTTAGTGATCTATCACCTCAGATAATTCAGCAGCAAACCCATCTTCCCCAGTTTAAAAACATCACTTAAATTATCTTAATGCACCAAAATCTGACAGGCAAAAAACATTCCCATAAAAAGCTGTCCCCTTAAAGTTACAAGTAACATCACAAGAGCAAGCTTCTAATCAAAGTGTCAGAAGCAGAGAAGCTTTTATCAGCGCTGAAAATCCAAATAAGAACATAGGCTGATCTTGTCAATCCATAGCAGGGAAGAAGTTTAAAAGGCTTTATGGGGAACTGGCTGGAAGTCGGTGTTTTTGGTGGCATGCGTCATTGCTCTGCGCTTGGCCAGGCGGGACTTGGACGGAGGTGAAAGCTTCATGGAGCACACAGCATGGGCAACACTCTCCTGCTCTGTGCTGAGTTCATTCTCATGCTGAGACAACTGCCGGTTGAGGGCTATGGCCTCAGCAGCAAAAAGTGTCAGGTCTTTTGTGCTACTGTTCCTTTTAAGGGAAAAGAAGAAAGTGGTTAAAGCACACACAGGGTCACTTCAGCTGGTTACCCTCACAGCAGAGCATTTACATCCAGTTTTATCTCTGCTATCAAAACATCAACACAGCAGCCAAAATGACCAGTTACTATTTGCATCTCTGCACTGTGAGAACCAGCAATACATAACAAAAACATGCTGGGAATTTGGAAACAGCCACAGTTCTAGTCCTCATTCTGCCAAGGGCTTCCCATGTCAACCCAAGAAGCCACCTGAGATACCACGCTCAGTTTCTGCATGTTACAAAAGGATGGCCATACAGGGCAGTACTGTTGCCCATCTTCAGAGAACTTGCAATCCCACTGTAATTGCACATCTGGCTTAAGGAAATGCATTTCTGATGGGAAGAACCACCTGGAATCACGAGTAGCAGACACGGAAACAGAAACAGAGATGTGTGACTAAGGCTCTCTGGCATACAGTATCTGCCATCAAATCACTTTAAATGAGGCTTGCCCTGCTCACAGTTACATTGATATAGTAATTACCACCAACTACACAGAAGTCATAGCCAAGTCCCTGTTCACCCATCAGTATGTAGTCCCTTTGGATAATGTGCGCCTTCATGCCTTCTTTTTTTCCCCCTCCTGGGCAGCAAACTGCCAAAACCATCATTATTTCCTGTCTAAGATTAGCACAGCACCACAGGAATCCTCTGCGCTGCCTCTCCCACAAACAAGCAAGATTAGATCATAAAGAAAAATCAGAGCTTTAATATTTCTGATACTCTTAAAATGAGTGCTGCACATTTATGAAGTTCCTTTCTCAAGCAGGGATCTTACCCCCTGATTTGCCACCTCCTTGTCATCTCTCCCTATTCTTTCACTAATGATTCTTGGCCAAGTTTGCAGATATATAAAAAAAGTATTACCTTTGAAGAACTTGCGGGGTAGGTAATCCCCTTTCAGGAGCCTGCTAGAAGAAGCAGTTAAGAAGAATTAGTTATGTACGAGCAGCTGGAAACCAGCTTTTCCAAGAGAGTGATAAAAACCAGGGGACTCCCCCAAATCACAGAATCATAGAATAGTCTGGGTTGGAAAGGACCTTAAGATCATCAAGTTCCAACCCCCCCTGCCATGGGCAGGGACCCCTCGCTCTAAACCATATCACCCAAGGCCTCGTCCAACCTGGCCTAATCTTTACAACTAATGGATACTGCATATAAACTAATTCACTGTGGGCTTACAATTCACATTTCATAATCAGTCTCTCCTCACAAGAAGATACCACAGTGTGCAGGTATCAGACTAAAGGTTTGGAAGCTCTCAAGAGGTTCTATCCCTTCTTTCCTGAACTGGGAACTAAAGCAAAAGAGAACACTCCTGTTCTTTTTAAAACCATATCTACCAGCAGCCTGCTTTACTGTATTGAAGAGTAACATCATAATTCGTGTACTGCAGTGCTTGGTATTCACAAAAAAAGCCGTTTAAAATGCATAAGGCAATAATTAAAAAACAAAACAGAAACACATTTAAAGGTTGACAGATTCATCTAAATATTTATCACACAGACCTCCAGAAAGAATAAAGCCACTGTGTATTGTTTAATTAATCAAGAACACTAAAACACATAATGACTCTATTAAAAGTACAGGGATGGTGAACAACTTGCTTGTCATTCTGGAAGACAAATAAGCCTTAAAATACAAAATTACTATATATAAGGGGGATACATACTCCTTGAACCCATGAATGTTGCAAAACTTGAGCAGCACTAAGTCGTTCTTTGGCATCACGAACCAGCAACTTTGAGATGAGATCTTTGGCCTCAGAGGATATGTGCGACCAGTCCTTGTCAAGAAATTCATACTTGCCCTCCTGAATGCTCTCAAAAAGCTTGTTCTAGTAAAAGAAAACAGAGTGCAACCAGAAGACTCCTCAGGTGGGAATCTTCTAAGTTTTATCCACCTAATGTGGTGAACTGAACCAGCCACTCTCTTATGGAGTCAATTGAAAGGCAGCTCCAGACTGTTACAGCACATCCTTTGATGAACATGATACACAGTCTGCTGAAAACACCTCACAACCCCTTCGTAACAGTGCAGTGCATTCAGGTTTTTGAAATAATCGATTCAGGTCTGCATGGAGACTCTCCTAGGGCTCAATCTTTATATGAGGAATTACGGTGACTGCCATAAACCAGATTGAGAATTACAGAATACAGGAGGATAGTGGGGTGTGGGAGAGGATATTAAGTTCCGAGATCTCGTATCAGGAGGAGAAAGAGGCAATTGCCAAATCTTACTTTAGAAAGGGATATCATCACTCAACTTCTATATTACCACCCTCGCTTCTTAGTGGCAGCTTATCCTCCCAAATAACAGGTTGGGTTACAGTCACAACTCTTCCTTGATGGCATTATGGCAAGTCTTACACCCTAAGTTTATGGGGCACTCTCTTACATATACCTAGGGCATTTGCATTCACCTGGCAAACTCTGCAGACTTCTCCTCTGTCCCAGCCACAGTCTGTGCCACAGTTGCCCACAAAAGGGGGGTAACCACTGAGCATGATGTACAGAATCACTCCCAGGCTCCAAAGATCACATCGCTTATCATAGAACGTAGCCTCCTCCATGAAGACTTCAACCACTTCAGGTGCCATGTATTCTGCAGACCCACACTAGGAAACCAAATTCAAGCAAGTTTTCAAAGGGTGGGTCAAATCAAGACTCATGTTTGTCATTCTCCTCTCTTTATAGCAGGCAGCTCAGTCTAAAAGCAGAATAAGGCATCAGGGACTACTGAAGTTTACTGCTGGCTTTCACTGCAAGTCCCATTTTGTTAAACCAAATTACAACTGCTCCCCACATCCCTCAAAGGTTAAATGGAATTGCCAAGAGCTTTGAAACATTTTGTGAGCATACAGCACAGGAAAAAATTAACACGTTTCAGGAGTAAGGACTACAGAGACCTTATAGAGACGTAATAGTTCCTACTGTTCTTTAGCAGAATCATAAGCTGATCATTTAATATGAATCTATGGTCATTTATACAGAGTCCAAATACTAATTTATGTATTTCAGGTTTTTAATTCTTACCCATTAGTTATGAGGCTTTTCAGAAAGTAAACAAGGGAGGTGATTTCTGTAACATATTCTTGCAAACCTGGCAGATTTTTCTTTCACAGTAATAAGAAAAGCATAGCACTGTGGTTTTTCAAACTAATGCGTATTATGAAGCCTGATTACAGAGCTTGCATTCCCCCTAGCTCATAGGTGTTAGCTATAGAACTCAAACATGGAGAAACGAACACAAAACTAAGGCTCAAATTCAGTTCATAGGCACACAAAAAACCACCATTAAAGCTTTGATGGACTAAGATGAACAGGATCAAAGTGTTACTTTCTAGCCAAAAGGAAACTTAACATGGTGAGCTCCTGTGCTTTTGTATATTTGTTCTATGACTGGGAAACCAAGACAGTATTTCTCACTTCAAATGAACTATCCACCACTGGATGTAGGTGGCAGTAACCCCTTTGGAAGCTCTCCTCTGCAGACAAGAAAATTTGTTCTACGGTAGAAGAGAAAAAGCATGAAGCCACACTAGGTCTCTTACCGGCGTTGTCAATTCAGGAGTAGTTATTGGAGTACATGCGCTGTTCAGCTTCACCCCACTACCAAGATCAAAGTCACATATTTTTACTGGTGATACCTAAAAATAAGGACAAAACAGTAAGAGGTCCAGAAGCCTGGGATTAATGCAATATATATGAACACAGCCCCATGCAGAAAGCCCCAGGACAGAGGACAAGTTGTTCCAGCAGAAGGACTAGTAAAACCCAGTCTCTTACAGCTACATTTGACTCCTTGCATTTGCCCCCTCTGCCCCAGTTGCTCCCACACCTCCAGCACCTGACTCTATTCCATGATCCTTTTACTTGGCCATGCAAGTGCCAGTACGCATGGGGCAGTTTGGGCACATATAACATGTCCAGCTGCCTTGTAAACATTGCTTGTCCATCTGGGTGTTACTGCCTCAGAAGAAATGAGGTGTTAAGTTGCAATTGCCATGCCCCCTCTAAGAACAGTTGGCTTCTTATCTCCTAACCAGATGCTCGCATTTTTGCAGCTCAAATTTAGTCTCAGGCTTCAGTCCTGTTACATTTACGTTAAGTTCACTAATGGGTTCAAAAGTCTTCAAGAAGAGAAGAAACAGAGACTGTTTGTGGAAACCAAGCTAAAAAATACACTTCAGAAGGTTAAGAGAGCAGAGCAGCACCTTTTCTGGAGATTCACACAGGATGTTTTCAGGCTTCAGGTCCCTGTGAGCAATACCTAGACAAGAGTACAAATGTTCATTAAAGAAGATACTCTCTTGTTTTGTTTCTCATCATTTCTCTTTATTAGAAGAATATTCTAATAGAGAATTCTCTAATAGAGAAACATTCTAGGCCTGAGTTTGCTACATACACACACACCCCATTAATGATACTGCAAATAATTTAATTGCAAAGTGTATTTGTTAAAAGTCACCATGCATCCTGCTGTACTTTTATCATCCTTAAATGTGTATGATAGTCAGCCAAGCAAGTAACTGAAATTGCTAACACTGGAACATTTTGGTTTAGCCTAACTTGATTATGTTAATTGAAAGCAGCTTATTAAGATGATTGACCTGTAGGAAAGTTTACTTGTGTACACAGTTAACTCAAAACATTTTTGTGCCTTCTACAGTAAGGTCTTTCTTTGCAGATGGATCAACTGGTGGTTTGCTAAAGTCCTATCAGCACAGACAATATTTGAGACACTCTCCCCAGTAAAACCCCTGAATTCCCAAATGAAAATACCCCACTTTAACAGGGAGGTACGTACTCACTGCTGAAGCAAAGGAAAATTTAAATGGTTTAGTCAAAGATGCAGGAAAAAAAGCTAATGGAGAACAACCAAAGGACTTTTTCATTCATTCAACTGCTATAAGAACAGGCAAATCCATCAGGGAAGCACAAATCTGTGTAATTCACATGCAAAGCTGGTTCTGCATTCTCAAAGCAGTTCTTCAAATCCCTAAACATACAATTTCCAGAAGTTCTCCAGTTTTGATCAAACTTAAAGGGAAGGCAGAAAATTGGAAGCAAAGAAATCAAATCAAATGAGCACCTTGGCTGTAATATAAGTGCACTCTAGCCTTGCTTTAAAAAAATTACACTCCAAGCACACTTGATACTACTTCGGAGTATGAAATAGAAAATACCCCACCAAATCCTAAGTATGGAAGCTCCCAATGCCTTTTGTTCAGCATGCTCCACAAGACATGATCTAAAATACAACATTAACAGCACAGCATAGCACCAATCTGAAGGAATCCGAGCTTTCATAAAGATGCAGTTTGCACTCCTTATGTATGGAAGATGGCATAATGAATCCATCCAAATGGCCTGTGCTGACATTTACAAGAAGGCTGACAAAACTCCCAACAGTTGGCTTGGCTTTCAGTGTGAAACCCAACAGCATATTTTTGCTTGAATTCAAATGTCTGACTGTGTAACATTTTATTTTGCAGTTGAACACAGCATTAAGAAGACAACTGCCTTTAAACACTCCTCCAGTGGATTATCAGCACTAAAGCACAGATATCCCAAGTGGGTGTAAGGCAGTATTATCATCCAGCTGAGTTTTAAATTACTCCTGGCAAAAGAATTAGTTGTCCTTATTCAATTTTTTCTTTTAAGCATCTAGCTATAGCAGTTCACTATTAAGCTGTGCAATAAAAATGCTTTAATTTCCTGTTTACTTTAGTGTTCTGTATGCTACTTACTAATTATTTTAATGTCACATGGAAGAACCATAAAGAGAACAATAAAATGGAAGGGGATGCTGCAGCCGATTCTGCAAGCCACAGCCCCACCATATCAATTCACAGCAAACAACAAGAAAGTGGATTGCTGCTCTAAAGCCATTTTAATGACTCACTCTGCTCTTGTTTGGGAAAAGGGGAATTAAATCTAAAAGCTGGAAGAGAACTACAGGAAGATATTAACCGAGTCGATGTTAAACTCCCTTGAATCGTGTTCCTAGACTTTTGGCTGTTAAGAAACCCACTATAGCATTAACACAGAAAAAGAATTTCTCTACCTGTTCAGCCTAAGCTTTCTGTTCCTTATTTGCCTCGTATCTCAAAGTCAAAATCTTCTAAACTCAGGTATTCAAAGAGTACATTCTCTGCAGGTCTGAGTTATCACATAGACAGGCTACAAAGATTACAACAAAAACTTAATCCAAATTAAGTTTGTTTCCACATTCAAATCAACTTCTCCTAACATGGTCACAACATGTGACAAGATCCATACACCACGGGTTTACCACTTTATTCCCTATGTATTACTATACTTTTTAACAGATTCAACCTATTGAGGTACCAATGCTATGATTCTAACTCAAGCATATAAGCCATCCTGTGACATGTAAGTAAAGCCTACAATTAAACGCTTGTTGAACTGGGGCCAGTATTAAGGAACTCAGACATCAAATATAGATCTGCTGTGATCACCTGACTAATCAGAATGCCAAAATAAATGGAGTGAAAAATAATCATAATAAATAACCAATAAAAATAGCTTCCAATTAAATATCATTCTGTTCAGAGGTAGTCACTGCAACATTGACTGGAGCTGCTTAATCTATGCAAGACCAGATAATTACGACCCATGAAAGATTTTGAAGGCATCTATCACATTCAACATGAATATATACTCTGGGGTGACCATAACACACACAGGAATTGATTCTAAAAGGCTAGTTGGATAATACTTATGTATGTTAACAGCACAGAATAATCCATCTGAAATAAATTTCCTCAATTCATATCAGAGACAATAAAGATTTCATCCAGGATTGCAATTAAATGAACTGAGCCTTTCCCATACATCCCTGATAAGGTAAGATGTTGTCTATAATAAATGCAATGTATTTCATTAGTCCTCAAAGAATTTTGAAATGAAGCAAAAGTACTCCTAAGTAGATAAAGCAGCAGGAGAACGTTTTAACATAAATGAACTCTCTATAAACAGAACTGCTTTTAGATCTGAGCAAGCCCAACTGAAATGAGGGCACCTTCAAACAAGGACTATGGCTCACTTGCAGGTCTCCCAACACAACAGTAGGGGTCTAAATGTGGGGACCAAAAGCGACTATAGACAAAGACATCTTGTAACCAGCAGAAATTCTGGGTACAGAAAAATATCTCTGTAGACCTGAAAGAGGGGGACATTAAAAAGAATATTTAGCTCCCTTTTGAATAGCCTTTATATGGCAGCTTAGGTAACAAGAACAAGCAAACACGTTCAACCCTAATATTAATTTTCCCTGGTTGCCAGTTTAATTTTTCTTCTTCAAAAGGTTATGCCATCTTAACACAGCTGATGACTTAAATTAACACATTATGAAGACAGTACTATAGAGGAAAACAGCATAAGTCATCTGGCATTGCTGTAAATAGAAACGCTAGCCAAGGCTGACTACTTACAAACAAAATGTGCTCCATCACCTAAATGTATCAACTAGTAAAGATGGATACAGCTTTCTCTTACCTTTTGTATGAAGAAAATCCAGAGCAGAGGCAATATCTCTCACCACTTTGCTAGCTTCTCGTTCATTGAAGTGCTTCCGCTTTTGAATATGGGCCAGAATTGAACCTGACAGAGTAAGAAGTGAAGGGGGAAAACCATAGTGTGAATGCTGCCTGGGCTGAGAAAAGCCTTTGTCAAGTACAAGGATAAAAACACAACAACCACTACGAGTCTGACATACGGGGAGAACGGACCTCAGCATGAGCTGGGCCAGAAGTAATTTAGAGAAGTTATTTGTAACAATCACTCTGCCCTAGCATGTTTATGTGGCAGGAACTGAAATGTCACAATCCCATTTTTTATATGGAAAGAGCCTCAGAAAATAATGATGAACTAGTACCAAATATCATGAATTCATAACCTCATTTCTCATATTGTATAACAGCCTTTCACAGCAGATAACTTCTGTAGACCAAACAGGAAAATGACTAAGAGAAAGGTACAGCTTCAATACTTCAGCATGCTAGGACGTAATTTTCAAACACTGCAGCCCTCTAGTTTAAGCACAGCATGAAAGGCACTCACTTTTTACTGCCTCAGCAAGACTGGTCTCTTTTCCACACACTGTAGGCAGCAGAGACTTGCTAATAGTACTAGTAACAAACATCAGCTAAGGATGTATATAGCACTTCAGCCGAACCCCATGCCACAGGTGACCATGCTCAAACTAGCTCTCCTCATTTTGTGCAATGTGACAATTTAAGCCTCGTGTACGTGGATTTTCTCTCAACACCAGTAAAATTAAAAGACATCCTACCTTTAAATACACATTAAAATTCCCACTGGCATCAAGGTCAGGTTTGGACACTGACTTAATGCAAAATTTGCCTGGGACACGAAATCTGACAAAAGACCTCTCAAATATAAAGACCAGTAGGTTGCAGGCAGAGCTCCACTGGTACCCGCTTTAACAAAGGAAAAAGGGAGCTTCAATTCCTTAAATTTCAACTGAATTCCATCAATCTTTTTAAAATCTTTAACTGGGTTTTTTAAAGACATTCTTAATGTAGTCCACAGAGATCCAGGCCCACTAAACGTCTTTACTACAGCCTTCCATTTTCTAACTCAGAGAAATATATTTATAAAAGAAATCAAGCTGAGAAATTCACAAAGTAGCTGACATCTGTTATTAGCCCCCATCACAGTAAACATTTATATCCTGGGTGATTTAATTTTTATTCTTCAGCTCTAGATGTGGAAGGAAACACATCATTCCCTATTGCGGTAATTCTCTCTCTTAAACCATCGATGCTGCTGCCACTCCTCCACAGCAAGGATTCAGAGAGGAAACAGTTAAGCGTCAAAAATAAGAAAGATGGACAGAAGACTCTTCAGATATGCTTTGATATGACAAAAGCTTCTTCAGATACACAGAGATATGCTGTGTCAGGTGGATGGAGGATGGCCACTTTGCATCAGGTTATCAGATTCAAATACAGGTTTCCCTTGACAAGTAACACTGTCTGGTTTGCTACAGATTTCTTAATGGCACAGAGTTCAAAGGGTTTTCCTGCTATAGCTGTTCTTTACACCTTTAGAAAATAATAACAGTTCTTGAATGTTTCTGTATTGCTGTGGAAAAGGCCCCAGGCTTTGCAGGAAACAATACTGAGCCAGCCGCCTGAAGTGCTTATTTCACTCAGCAGGTTTATTTCAGATTGCCCTTCTAAATAGAGCCAAAGTTCCAAACTCAGATAAAAACTGTATCAGTAACAATGAAAACATACTCTACAGACTTTATATTCAACCCACGGAGGAATCCCACAAAGAGAAAGAAGAGCAGGGCACTCCTGCCACAGTTGTTACCATCACTTCAGTATTCATCAGAGAGAAAGCATCATGTAACACCTCCCAAAATGCATTTCAGAGGGAAAAAAGGGAGAAAAGGATTCTTTTATCATGCAAGTTCAGTATAATAAGCTGGATTTAAATGCTTTCAATAATAAAATGCTGTCAGGCAAGAATATTAAAGGGCTTCTGCATATCATGGTGAACTGAACACAGCTGAAACAGGAGCACAGCTCCTTTAGTTACCCAGCCACAGGAAAGCAAAGCTGAAAATGGAAAGTCCAAGTTACGTCCCAGCATCGTAGGTAACATCAGTCTCTAAGACTGGAGTTATTAAAGTAAGGCTTCCATTGAAGGTTAATGTTCTCATTCTTGCCAGCCAGGCTGCTTACATCTGAATCTGTAGTGCATCAGAAGCTGGTCTGACCCCTAATTCCCATTATCTTTTTCTTCAAACCCACATACCTCACATTTCAAATACTGAAATGTTTCAAAGAGAAAACTAGCCTCAGATCTAGCTGACCACTGTAAAAACAGTAGCTATGAGAGAGAAGGTATAGCATTATTACCCTTCCAGCAGCAGCACAGGTACCCTGACAATGACAGACTTACAAAGAGGAGGGTTAACTAATAGAAGAATATGGAGATGGGAAAACAGACAAATGCAGATTCATCCCCATCGAGCCCTGCTATACCTAATTGGTCAGAGAAGTCTGTGCATTAAGAGAACAGTGTCAGAGGAAACCACAGTGAAATTATGCGATAAATTTAAGGGAAGGTAAACAAAAGCTTTTACTCAAGAAAACCATACCCTTTAAAGAGTTCTGCATCTATACTGAAAGAATTTACATTTCCTGTTCATACTGTCTGCCACTGAAAACCTTCTTGAGCAGTGACAATAGATGATGTTCCATGGACAGAATATATTCCTTCAGATACTCAGGGTTTTTTTGAAAGGTGTCCACACTTTTAACTCACAGTTTTGCACAGCCATGCAATTAATGGATACTGTAATCATACTCAATGGAGACAAATGTGAGAAAGTCCACAAAGTGCTTCTGGAATGAGAAGTAGCCTTCTTATTGCTCAAGTTGACTGTTAAATGCTGAAGACCAGTGACTACACATGCTGACTTGACTGGCCCTCAAACAGCAATAAGCAGACTGCTTTACAATTACAGCAACATAAGGCAGAAGCAAGATGTTGTTCAAACCAGCTCTCCTTGAATTTCAGGAAGCAAAGCCAATCCTACGTTAAGGAAAATACTACAAAGTATATAGATGCTGGACTAAGATCATGCATAATAACTGACACACTGCATGTCTCCCCTTGTCTGAAGGTACACTGACCTAGTAACTACATTCCAAAGCTTTAACTTTAGTAGAGCTGACATTTCCATTACTTAGCTGCAGAAATGGGCTGCAGATGTATGACCAGACCCATCAATATTCAAGAATAACCCCACTTCAAGCTTTGTATATTAATTCCTCTACTTCTTTTTTGTCCTGTCAGGTACTTATAACAAGTTCTTCATTTTCTACTTTAAAACACTGAGACAAACAGGACCAAGATGATTGACCAAGGTGATGACAAGGTGATTCCATGAATGAACGCACAGTTACTGCACAGTACCTCCTCGCAGCTTCTCGAAGACAAGGTAGTATCTTGTATCATCTTCAAAAAACTCTATTAACTCCAAAATGTTCCTTTGAAAGACAAAAGAAACCAAAAGGGGAAATGGGAGAAAGAGGCACAGACTGTAAACAGAGCAGTTGTTTCAGCATGGGTAATTCGGAAGTGCCAGAAGTAACCAAACTAAAAGCTCAAATTAAACAAGTTGCTTCGGTTGCCTATGGCATTAAAACCACATTTCCAACTCACACTGAAACTGAAGCACAGGAAGCAGGCCAAACACCAAAATCAGGGTTGTGAGAGACTTCTGCTCCTTCTCAATTGACAGGAAAATAACTGGTAATAGGTTGTATTTAATAATTTAGAACACTGCATTTGTGCTGAAGGCAAGAACATAAAAATAATTAAACTGGCACTCTTTTTCTCTCTGGAAATCACAAGGCAAAACACACAGGGCTCAAAAGGAGACAGGCATCTGTCAGCATGATATTAAATCCAGCACTGTAGTTACGATTTGCAGGCTAACTCGCTCCTGTTTAGCTAGTGTACAGCCTTTGCAGCACAACACAAACACCCCATGTTGCTTTGAGAATGATAAAAGTGTGCGACAGATTCTTCTGTACTTATGGCACACACAAAATCCAAATTCTGGGTGTAGTCATAAGAGCGTGAGCTTTTCCATCAGTTACGTAACTGGACGACCATATGCTCTTAACCACAAACAGAACAAAGATATAATAAGCTTCTCTACAACATAACTGAAGCCCATGAGTATGGCAAACAAGTTTGGTTTTAAATTATCTTTAGGTATTGTACTAAAATTTCTTTAAGGAAGGCTCGATATGAACTGCACAACTGAGTACAAATAACAGCTGCTGTATACATTCCAGATTAACAGAGACATCTAAAGGAGTAGTTTCAGAATTGGCTGAAACTCATCACGGAGGCATCACTGCCACTGGCTGTGCAGCCTGTCCCTCCTCTTCAGGCACAAGTGGCAGATTTAAAGTTGCTTCATCCTGTGGCTATGTGAAGCCAGCACACATCCAAATGAAAGCTAAATTAGCTTTTGGCTGATCTAAGAGTTCCAGTGTGAAAGCAGGAAGGCTGACACAAAGAGGACAAACCACACATTAGGGAAATGAATGGCAAGACTCTTCCTTTCAACAGCAGCTGGTATCAGGTCAGCTTTTACTGATGGTGAAATCACTGGGGAGGGTGTCAAAATGTTAATTCCTCATTTGGCCAAGAGCCACGCATTGCTCAAGTACATTCAGGCTACAGTGACCTGGTTGCTACCTGAGTTATGTGACTTTTAATGTATAAATATCTCCCTAAATTTCACAGGTAAGAGGAGTTGAAATTCTCATTTTGAATAGGTCAAGCCTAAATTTCAGTTGGTTTTGAGGAGACTACTGCAAAGCAGCTAACCTAGTCACATGTAAAAGGCTTGAAAGCTTGCAAAAACATTTAAGAAACTTCAAACATAAAAACCTACACAAGACTCTATACTTACTTGTTCCCCTGACACTGGTACAGCGTTTCTATTTCACGGAAAACCCGACTCCGACTATGCCCCGCATCTTTTTCAATGATCTGTGGAAAGATTTACAGCTCAGGTTTGAAAATTCACTGCAGAAACTGTGCATGGCTGTGGAATACGGTAACTGATGTAAGGCCTGAATCTCACGTATGCCCACCAGAGAAAAACACTCCACCTTTGTTTAATTTCTTATCTGTCATTTATTTACAGTGTCAGCATAGCTCTGGAGGGCATTCGAAGGACAAGAGAAATGAGGACAGGAAGAGAAGTAAGGAACTAAATCCACATGTTACACAGTCACTGACCAGTTACATGTTTTTTCTTGCATCACTTTAAATCTGCAGTGTGCAGAAAAGAATATCCTTTTGAGTCCTAACAAAACCAGATTTAAGTCACATCAGACACTGAATAGCCAAAAACAAGAGATCTGTTATTACAGGCATTTAAGTAAGAAGTACCAAATTCACCACAAAATGAGTTTGTTTCATAGTGCAAACTTCATGGAGACCCAATAGTAGGATTTCACATGTTAAAGAAAACACACATTCAATCTCTGTACTGCCATCAGAAGTCACCTGCGTTCACATACTCCTCGGGTTGAAAGAATACAAGGGCTTTCCACAGAGGATGGGACTGAACAATTGCTACGTGACATGAAAGCTCATATTACCACAAATGCTACCACCATCTGTACCCAGGATTGGTTTCTCATCTTTACAGCCAGAGTTCTGTGGTACAGAAGAGGCAACCATTCACCAATACTACACATGACTTGGCATCTGATCCTGTCTAATTCACAATATAGTAGTTTATTTATTCCAACTTCAACAATTCTACAAAGTGCACACAAAATTATAGCATCTGCAGGACTAGATTCTTAATGCAGCTTAAAATTTCCAGCATGGTTCCAGAAAAGAATCAAACATAAAGCTTTCCTATTTGTGTTTGTAATTAAATGGGGGACACAAAATAACTACCAATCTGCTGATGGGCCCTAATACTTAATATAGTGGCATTAATGAAGATTCACCTTTATCAAAAAACAAAGAGACAGCTTTACATTAACTAAAAGCAGTAACTGATGCTCTCTGAATTCAGAGCAGCATTCTCAAAAGCTTGCATTATTTGGTAGGCCATGCTAGACAATGGCTCTCCCCCTTCTTTCATAAGGAGAGATACAAACTGGTAGACTAAAGTCAAATCAAGACATGAGAGGAAAACTTGCCCTGAGATCCATCCATCACAGTCATTTGCTGTTTGTGAATTCAATCTGTGGTTGATATTACCAGTACACTCTGGAGGCACCATACTTAGCATGACAAAACCTTAACTGTTATAAAGCAGGCTCATTTCAATCATCAAAATGTTCTAAAATGTTTTGCTATTATCCACTCTATTATATGTTTTCACTGAGAAGGAAGAAGATACATTGCCCACGAAGTGTTGCTGCTTTTATTCTATACTTACTTTTACTGCATATTCTTTCCCAGTTTGGAGGCTGACAGCACCCTGAACTTTGGCATATGCTCCCTCACCAAGCAGCTCTGCAGTCAGCTTGTACAAGTCTGGCAAAGAAATCCAACAGAAAGGACACATTAGCCACAGCATTTCAGTGAGTAACGCCAAGACAAGCTATTTATCTGATGAGCATCCCTCATACGACAGCAACTGAAAAAATTGCCTTGGTAATGAAGACAGAAAATAGATTTATGAAGTATTAAAGTAGATGTGCCAGCCTTAATTATGCCTCATTTTTCACTCCCCCCCTTCAAATTCCTAAAAGATTTAAAGGAGACTTCATTCCAGCATCAAAATTACAAATCTATTCATACAAGAAACATTTTATATCTCAGCAATTGCTAGGACCTCATCCACTTTCCCTGTCTTCATGTAAAACTCAGAACCATTTTTTTCAGGTTAAAAACATATCAATCCTTGATCAGAAAATGCCTACTAAGTATTCAAATTTGAGGGCTTAAATCTAAAAGAGTGCTACCACCTTGATTTGCAATTTACCTTATAACGTTTCTTGCCCGCTAAGAAGTTTTATGCTCATCAGCTTTATCACACTAAACACTTTTATATACAATGCTTCACAGAATGAAGACCAAAATATAGAGGATAAGAAAAACACAAATACCAACTTATAATATTTGCCAAAAAGCAATGTTTAGTTAAGAAAACTGAGAACAACAGAGGGAAAACAGACCATTAAAATTAAAAGCTTAGAAGTTGCCACCAACCTTCAAACTTCCCAGGGACGTGATCTGTGGCTCTGGTTCTTTTTTTCTTTTTCCTTTTCCCATTGTCTGCTATGGGGAGAGGCTGACTGCTGACCATTTCTGTTTGGCAGAACATAAAGGTGCCTTTAACACACAATCAATTAATTACTTTAGGAGAAAACGAACATGCTCTTCTGTGCCTATGTTTTTAAGCTATCCAAAAGATTCTCTGTTTATCTTCATCACAGGCTGCCATATCAGAGGAAACCTAAAAAGACAATTTGGGCTCTAATTAACAGCTCTGGAAAGGTTTGATAATCAAATGTAAAAATAGAAGGAATAACTACACTGAATCCTCCTCTCATAGCACACAGCAAGGCAAAGCATAGGAGTAACTTTGTCAACAAGCACCATCAGCTACCCACAACATAACACGTGCTCTGCTGTAAGACAGGATTTACAGCCCTCACAAGGGTGTTATTCTTTGAGTTATTTTAATAGTTTACAAGTAGATGGGTTTTTTTTTCCATGATAGCTGAAGAAAATGAACTTCCAAGACAGGAGGAAGGTGTGGGGAAGTTTCAAATAACCTGAAGAAACAAAGCAACCACAGGAGTGAACAGGTCAAAGGAGCAATCTAGGTCAGTTTATGCTGCCAAAAGGCCAGAAAACAGTTTCTCATGTAAACATGATGTGCCTTTCTAAACCACAGATCAGTGAATAACTTGTGCTCCAAAACAAGCAGTGGTTACAGCATTTTGATTTTTTTTTTTTCCTGCACCACTACCTGCAGATATTACAAGAGCTAAGGCAGAGATAACAATTCACTGATGCAAGATAATAGGGCAGGAAAAGAAAGAACACCCACATATTCTTATGGAAAGCCTGAATAACATTGCCATACACTTTCTCTGCTAGAGGTTGCTTCATACAGCTAGCCTATCTCCAAAAAGGCTAAACAATTCCACCCTATAGCCACATGAGCCCTTCACACCACCAGTCACAGCCTCTCAAATTGGCCTTAACAGTTAAAAATCATTGCTCACAGTCTTTTAAGGCAGTAGCAAAGCATTGCTAAGACATTTTACAACCAGGATTTCTAAGAAGATTTGCTATTAAAGACCCTGTACTACAGAAAAAAACCCCACTAGAAACAGCATCATTATGAACACTGGTCATGAAAGAAGAGCAAGCCCTAAAAACAACTAAAAGTATTCTGGCAATTCTCTAACAGAGAGCCTTTGTAAACAGTGGGTTTTCTGCCTTCTGCTCTTTCTAAAGTACTCTTAACACACAGGAAAAGTTCAGAGGCAGAAAATATTATCCAACAGCCTACCAATATACGATATATTTTTCTTTGCTTCATTCTATTTTCCCTGCCAGTATTTGTCAGTAAAGGCTATTATGACTGTCACTTAGAACTTGCACCTTGTCTAAAAATTTAAGACAAGTGCTATTTTGAAGCCCTTTTTCTTTAACTGAAACACTTAAACATGCTCATTTTAAGCCTCAAAACAATAGTAAATCCTCATTTCCAAGTCTTAAGCAGAATGTGTTAAGAAATCATCAGGATGGATGACATATGCGAGTTCTTAAATACAGTAAGAAATATGAAAGCATACATTTTACCAACTTCTGAATAGCTTCCTTTTAACTCAAACTGACATACATACAGTTTTGAATTTTAACATAAAGGCTTGCCTTTGACAGCAAGTTCCAGCTCTCCCTGATTTCAATTCAGCCCACATTAGAAGTTATTCAGAATTGGGATCGAAATGGCACGTATGAAGCTGCTCAGAGATAGAGCTGGTCTGCTTGAAAGTGGTGCTCGATTTCCAGAAAGTGTCAAACAAGTCATTTTAATGACCTGACCTTCTGCAAGTCAACAAGTCATATGTAGACAAGTTCTATTCCATTTCAACCATTACACGGTTTCAGAGCTTGTAATAGACTAAAACTCACCAAAAAGACAGGAGATGAATCCTGCATCTTAGTACAGCTGACATATTTCTTCACAACCCTCCCCTGCACTCTGCCACTTGGCTATGATATTTAGCATCTGGTGTTTAGTAACTCACTGCATTACTTCAATTCCCTTTAGTGTGACTCAATTCCTAAATTGCAGAGAACTGCTTCCCTGAAACCAGGAAGTTCACTGGTCATGTATACAAAAACCAATTTACTGAAAAGCTGATGTCTTCAAACTATAGTCTTGACCAAATTTGATATCAGACAGGCATGAAATGTTTTCTATGTTAGATTCTTATTACCCTTCTGGTCTGCTATTTCACATCATGGTGTAGTTTGCTTTTGTCAACATAGTTTTTCCTTTAAAGGTATTAGAGCTTCATTCTTGTTATTCATTTTGTTATACAGAACTTAAGTAACAGCTGGTGTGACAAAAAAATGCCTTTAACTTAGCCAAATGCTTTAGAGGTTTTTCAAGGTTTCAAATAAATGCTTGTTTCTGTAAGCATACACCAAAAAGTTTCTGATGACACTGACAGACAGTGTGCTTCAACCATCCCAGCAATGCTGAGGTGTTTTTACATACTGCAGGACTACCTTTGGTGATAAGGACACTGTGGGCCCTGAGGAAACTCACCTGGCCAGACAGAAAACTCAGAAACTGGATGAGCTGCTTTGGAGGGAAATGGCCCACAGACACATCAGGCCCAAGATGAATGTCTAACCATTGTCATGTTAAGGTAATTTTACAACATGACCCAAAGCATTGAACCCCATATTCCACCAAACCAACTTTTCCACCCACTTTATAATCTATTCTGGCTGGGTGCAGTAGAACACTGCTTGGTGTTCAGAGCAGACTAGCCAAAACTTTGATAAAAAGCACTTCTTACATACAGTAACACTCAGACTGTTCTCCAAGAACTGTCTGACCAGCAGTCTAATAAAAGCTGAAGAAACAGGGAACAGTTAAAATTCTGATCTGTCCTCCTCCTCCAGTCAGATTAGGATTATTGCTCACAGGATAATGTAACCCAGCCAAATCCATACTGCAACAAAAAAGAAAGCAAGTTTCTGTCTTTGCTGCAGTTTTGTTGAAGTCCTATATTTTATTATCATCATCATAATTCAGTGTTAAGGCAGTATTTAACACAGGTATTATTCAGAGCCTATCTGGGAAGTTATAGTTACAGCCCTTCCCTTTTGTTATTGTGGTCTCTACAGCTACCTTCAAAAGGATGACAAAAAACACCATAAAGACGACTTGCAAACAATACCAAGTAAAGAAGAAAAGGAACAATTACCACGTTTCACTTCATCCAGATCTTAAATGACCTTTCATCTTGCTTCCTAGCACTTCATAAACAAACATGCCAAAATCCAAACTCGCCTCTCATTCGAATCCGCTCCCCAAAGGAAGGAAGGGTATATTTAGAAAACAAGCACATATATATACAAGCACACATATAGTTAGAAAACAAGCACAAGTACAGGAAGCACTTGGAGAACACAGATGCTCTTTCTATTAAGAAGATACCTTGTTTGTGTGTTTGAATTCAATGGGAGAAGGCAGTTTAAGAAGAAAGTGTGGACACTCCCACCTCCTTCAAAACTGGATCTTGCTTAAGCCACAGCTGAAAAGAAATACAATCACATTTACATTCAGAAATCACATAAATATTATCACAGACATTTGGGTAGTGGTCAGTCTCATGAGATTGTAAAAACCAGTTATGCAGGGCTTCATGTGAGCACACAGCAAGAGTGCACCCCTGCATTAAAGACTTAGTAACTCTAAAGTACAAAATGAAATCCCATGTTATTTCCAGCCCTCGCATCATTTCAACTGAAGAGAAAACCCCTTCCTTAACAGTCCTGCAAAAACAATGGAGGGATTTACGGTGTTCATTAGCTCTTGTTGTTATGCCACTGGAGAACCATACCTAGTTTAAATATAAAATACAGAATTACTGTTAACGAACAAGACTTACCATACTCCTAACCTATATCAACCCTCTGCCAAGATAGAGCACCACAACTACAGCCATAACAGCATCAAGTTAAAGCATATCTTAAAATTGGTCTCAAGGCAGCCAAACAGGCTCCAACACCAGGAGCATAAGAAAGCATTTTTCACAGCTGAAAAGCTTCTCCTGAGAACAGGCACCACAAGTACTGAATTCACTCCTATCAATCAGCAAATGAGGCAGCGATGCTCAGGTAATACCATGTGAAGAGAAATCAGGAGCCTCAAATAGAGCCTTTTGCGGATTGACAGAGGATAGCCACAACCCAGAATTCAACAGACTAAGCAAATCAAAGTTGATGTGCTATCATAGGATGTTTTCAGACCACTGAGGTGGTACCTCAGCTGCAATAACAGAACTATTACTGTTCCACAGATGCTGCAAAAGCAAAGGCTTCTTATTGTGAATAAAAGACCACTGAGATCCCTAATGAGGGTTCTGTAACTGAGACTTAAAAACACTATTTTGACTATCTGAACAACAGGCACACCAGTCAGCATCTTCTGAATAGCATCCAACTTCCCTGTTGATTTATGCTCCTTTCCAAAGCCATTGTTTACTTCTTCAGCTACAGATTCAACAGAATAGTTAGGCATGAGTAAGCCCCTTGATTCCACAAGCATGACATACCCGTGACTCTCAGACTTCAAAGTGAGCACTCAAAGCTCAAAAAAAAAAATAAGCCACTTTAAAGTTTCAGACATTCAGAGTTTTAGACATAGAAACAAAACGCAAACAGATTTCAGGCTGAGGGTCCTCCCAGCTCAGTTGCTCACATGGTTCTCAGACCCTCCCTTGTCCAGCAACACTTTGATACCTTTACATGTGGCTCATAATGACACGGGACTCAGCAGGTGCTGATTCTGCCAAAATCTGCCAGTTGCAGGAAGCTCAGAAAAATCAAAGTTATCTTTATGAAGAAACTACATAATGATTAACTGTGCTGTTAGCACTATACATGAAGAGAAACACAGCTTGAAGAGGACAGATACCCAGTCCTCTAGAACAGCCCTGTGTCAAATCCAGACGCAGATTATTTTAATACTTACTCTGTATTGCATTAACTAAAAACCTGAATTTCAAACTGTAAGAAGTGAGTATTCTTACAGGTCATTAATCTTTACAGTAGTTTGCCATAATTCACTCTTAGCTGCCAGAGCTACTTTCTTATCCCACCTACATGAAAACTTCTAGTATAATTTAATTAATCTAAATTATCCATGCAGGAAGAGTAACTTAAAAGCATTCCAACATTTTCCCAATAAGATACAGGAGCATTAACATTTTAAAGTGAACACCTCGAGAGTCCACAGGAAGCCCAAACAATCTGATTTCATGAAAGAGCAAGTCTGAGAAAAATTACCAGTTCTGCCTTATTGCTGTAACTCCCACAGAGTTTAACAGCTGACACCATCCTTCTCAAATCCTTCAGTCTGCAGAAAAGGTTACAGCAACCTTTTCCTTTACCTCTACACTTGTCTTTCTGATTCTCTCCTGTCACACTTTTAGAAGACCAGAGTCACCTTATATTCTGTGTACACAAGTTGCAGAGTCTAATTTCTCATGCTCTCAGCTATCCACTTCCTTTGCAAACTAAGCATGGGGCTTCTGAGGTTCTGAGTCAAACCCTCCAGCAATGGGTGGATCTCACCTTGCAGGACAGCACATAAAGTTATTTCAAACAGATTCCTCCCACCCCAATTTATTTCTTCACCATGATTACTACTGGAGAAGCAGGGAGAAGCTTAATGGAGAGGAGAGCACACAGCATTCCTTTCCCTCTCCTGCTGGGAGAAAATAGCGTATTTTAGCACACATGCTGTAAGCATGAGATATTCTGCTGAGGTCTGCCTGTGTCTGCATAGACACACATGAATTTCTCAAAAAGCATCAGCTATCATGACAGCAAAAGAACTGTTACCACCGCCACTGGAAAGTCAAAGGAAAATAAGGCAAGTGTGCTGACCCTGCTATGAGTTAACAAGTAAGGATAGCAAATGAGACTGAAGTTGGGTTAAAAACAGTGTAATCTATTTAATTTCTTGCTGTAGGACAACATGCCTGTGAGCTACACAAATGAGAGGTCATAATAGGGTGTATTTCATGGTGCTGACAAATAAATGCCAATGGTAAGCCTTGTCAGGAACAGCATGGCATACACACCGGATATAACAGTGAAGACCATCTTTCCTCCTTCCACATACAACAATACAGCCAAACAAGATACTTAGTGCTCCTGACCACTGACAGACGATTCATATTTCCAAATTGCAGTAGGAACTCAGCTGTAAAATTACTTCAAACTCCAGATCACACATATTCTAAATGAAAGAAGTTCTTACAATAGTACTTCGACTCAACCACTCAAAGCCTCTCTAACCCTTGGAGCTCATTTAAATTAAGGAGATAAAGAAGGCAAGCAAGTTCCGAAGGCCACTTACTAAACAGCAAGTGGCTTACCCTCTCCTGTATTTTATGGCATCAACAACTCTCAGAAGACTGCCTCTGAGTCACCAGTTAGTTCCCTTAACCCCACTCAGCTCCCTCGCTAGTTTTCAAGGCTAAATCAAACACTTCTTAGAAGACTTTTAATTTTATACAGATACAAGATAAGCATTTCCTGTTCTTACTCCACACCCCACAAATGATCAGATAGTGACACTTGTCACTGGAAAAGAAAAAAGCTACACAGCATACTCCCATATTAGCAAGCAGCCTTGTTTGGAGAGGTTCATCTACCTAAATGTGGTTTTAAGTCTAAAGATTTTTGTTCGTTTTCCCTCCTCTGTACTTTCAACTCTAGCTGAAATTGAAATTTCAACTCTAGTTCTAATGAATAGTCATTAAAAGCCACTGCAGTTTCACATCTGATGTCACATAAAACTTGTATCAGTGTTATAACATTTGTTACCAAGAAGGTAAGGGAAGGTGAGAGGAAATTCCTCATAGCAGTAAACAGCTTCTTTGACAGCATTAGGGTGCACTGATACAGCAACCATGCCACAAAATAATGGGACAGAACGGGTTAGGTTGGAAAAGACTGCCAATACCATCATAAAGAAACCTTCAAGTGTCAAAGCACCCAAACCCACCTTACCTGGAGGGCTGCCAACACCAAAACCAATTACCTTTAGAACTGCAGTGGAAGAAGTTCAGCTCCACAAGCATACTTTGCCTTGCTTCCATCTAGCACCTGGAAAGCACGAAGACGAACTCTGTTTTGATAAAAACAAGCCAAATTGTAGTTCTTCAAGGTTATCAGAATATATGCCAACCTTTCCAAGCTAATTGCAGGGCATTCATTTGTATGAGAAGGAGGCTTTTATAAGCAGTAAGCTCATAAAAGGGGGAAAAAAAAAAGTAACAATTTCTTTACTTCTAAACAAAGCTGACACTTCACAAACAAGTGCAGTGGTATCAGTGGAATGGGCTGAGTTTTGGCTATCGCACATACTACTGAAGCCAGCAGCCGAGCTGTCACCAGGGCTGTACCGCTGCCCTGTGCTTCTCTTCCCTCCACAGAAGGTCACCCCGGTCAGGCCGACAGATACTGCGGAGGTAACAGGTTAAATCTAGATTGATTTGCAGTGTTCCCAGGGGCTCACAGGTCTCACTGCCTTATGACACATGAAACACACAAGAAGAAGTAATAAGCCCTCTTGTCATCCGATCTAGGAACAGGTTCATTCGCTTTGCCCACTCTTCTCCCACTCTAGCAACACTTTTCATAGAAAGCAGCCGCCGTAGGAGTTCACAGCCTTACCACTCTTTATTAAAAGCATAAAGTATGCAATACCGCAGTTTAACCCCTCGGGGAACAACCGGCTCTAAGCAGTAACTCGGACATCCCTCAGAGAGGACCCCGAGCGGCTGGCCGGCGGGCTAAGGTCACTTCACCTCCTTCCCGATGCCTCTGGTCCCCGGCACCAGCAACCCGGGCTGCCACCGCTCCCGGTCAGCGTCTATCCCTCCACATGCCCCGTGGCTCGGAGAAGCCCCGCTGAGAAGCACAGCGGACAGGGACCCCCGGGGCTCCCCGTCACACATCTCCCCTCAGCTGGCAGAGGGGGGAGAACAGCAAACCGCCTCTCCCCTCATCACTGCCGCGCAGCCCCAGCGCAGCCCCAATGCAACCCCTCAACCCCCCGCCCTCACCTCCATGACGGCCGCCAGCGTCCCCCGACTCCGGGGCGTGAGTCGAGGGCAGCGCGCATGCGCGCAACACCGCCCCGAGTGAGCCCGCCCTGTGCGCCGCCATCTTGTATTGCTGCCCGTCCTGCCTTTCTAGGGCAGCCGAAGAGCGCCCGAGGAAGAGCCAGAATAACTAATAATATTCAGTTCATGGTGCTCAGGTAGTATCTTCACAGAAAAGAGCCTAATGAGTTAAAAAGCCACTAAGACTTTCACATCTGAAACCTAAAACCCCTTAAAATTAAAAACCTAGAGCATAGGAGGGGTGATAACTTTCAAGAAGCCTCTTTACTCAGGAAGTTGTGTCTGGCTTTACAAGTTATTGTACTGTCTATGTAATGCCAGCAGCATAATAAATACTTTGGAAGCTGATACCCTTGCGTGCTTTTTCTGCTACTTGTGCTCCCCGCAAGCATTTTGCATGCACCCTTGGTTTATTACAGTGATTTCCCATTTGTCCTCAGCGTCAAGTCGGTGCTGATGGACCTCAGCAGTTGCTCAGGTGTCAAGGGGAGATTGTCCTTTATCTCTGGCTTCTGAGCAGTGTGGCTACAGCACAAGGGCTTATAGAATCATAAATGAATGGGTTAGAGTTGAAAAGAACCTTAAGATCATCTAGTTCCAACCCCATGCCATGGGAAGGGACACTTTGCCCTAGACCATGTCACCCATGACACTGTTCACCTTAAAGCAGGACAAAGTCTAATCTTTTTAATTGTTTTTTAATTCATTCCTATTGAACGAGGATTTTAATTTTGCCAGCTTTATTCCCTTTTAGCCTTTTTAGATTCGTTATATTGCCTGCAAATATATCCGATAGAAAAAAACAGTCGGGTTTTCTTCTCAGCAAAGACACAAGACACCTGGTCTGCATGACAGCTCCAAGAGAAAAAAGGCTGACTAATAGCAGAAATCATGCTTTGGAGTTTGCAGATGAGTCTCTTCTTTCAGTTTTACAAAGAGAAGTTCTGATCTATGTCTCAGGTGTTAAAAAGGCTCAGGAATAGACTTTGTGCTATTTCCCACTGTAAGGCTGAGCAGGGAGGTGGATTCATCTGCAGAGAAGTATCCCCAGCAAGAAATAGGGGTTTATCCGTATCAACTCAGACTGACATTGTTATTCTCAGTTTGGATGACATTTCAGTTCTCCACTCACTGTAACAGTCTGAATGAAAAGGTGTAAACGTGGTAAGTTTAGAATTCATATTAAAAAATGAAAAATAAAAGAGTAAATTGAAAATAAGCCCAACAAGAACTCCTGTGAGATATACTCCCTACCTCATTTGTGATACAGTATCTTCTCCATAAGGATTTCAGATGTCAGTAGAGATACTTTGTCGGGGAGTGAAGAGATGTTCATTCCTAGAGACCACAAGCTTTGTTGCACTGTGTGCCCACAGATACCAGACAGACAATGATAAACTTGGAAGGAGAACGTGAATATGCCTGAGAAAATCAAATTTCAAGTTGTCAAGTTAGCAGGACTTTTAGCAGTCACCATATAGATGTTCTAACTCATTTTATTTTGCATTTGTGAAGATTTGGGGATTGGCACACAGCATTACCACATTTCAGCTGGGAGATGGTAACTGCCGCATGGCAAAGAGACTGTAGGACTGTGAATGGCAAAGAGATGCAGCCCTTCCCACTGTGAAGCACCAGAAACCATCTCCAGGTTGCCATGAAGGAAGAGCAGCCTATTTTAGTTACACTGGCTCGAACCTTTCAACTCTGCTCCTGCCACATATATGTCAATAACTTGTTTTTCATCCAAAGCTGTTCAATTCTGCTAGTGCTGGCTATTGTTAAAATGGCTCAAGAGAAACACCAAATTCAGCTTTAACCCATAAGCATCCCAGCACTGTATGGTTTCAGTCTGGACATGCAGCTTGGTACCCACAACTCTCAAAGCAAAAAGCTTAGCAAACCTAAAGCAAGTTAAGACACAATGGTACCTGCTCTTGCTGCCTTCTCTGCCGAGGGGCCCGGAAGATGAACCACAGTTTGAGAGAGCTGCCAATTCCTCACCAGGGATCAAAGGAAACAGCTCAGAAGCAGAGCAGTGCCTGAGATAGCTGAAGTCTGCAGGTCTCGGGATAGGATGGGGCTACTGAACATCAATGATATCTTTGTGGTATTCTCTCCCAGGATGAAAGCATGTTTTGTTCTTTCCACCAAGCTGGCATGGGAGAGCATGTCCTATAAACAGCAGAAGCACTGAAGCCTGGTTTCCTGGGGATGCACTCATGTGCATGGTGGTGCAGTGCTTTGAAGATTTCTCTACTCCTAGCAGCTCTTTCCTAGATGAATGGTGGCCTATCCAAGTTGAGGATGCTCCCATTTCCCTCTCCCCTCAAGGAGAGCATTAGTAGTCTTTGCTTTCCCTTAGCTGCCTGCTTGTTTCCACAGTACATTAAAACCTTTTATCCTTGAAGGGTTCAGGACTTACGTCTGAATATCTTCGCATGTAGACCTCTGCTTGAACAGAAATAAAGGGTGGTTTGCAAGAGTAGCTCAAATCCGTGCAAGCACATTTGGACTCTCAACATCTAGAACTGGATCAGTTCAGGGAAGATTATCTCAAACTTCTGTAGCGTGTTTTCAAATTGGATTCATTGTGGTTTTTCATTCCCATCCTTTTCTTCTTATTACACCTTTCTACAATGGCTTAAAAGGCTCTTAACAACACTCAGCATCCTCTGCCTGTGAAAGCAGGCATCCATTCTTAAAGCAGATTCTATATATCTGGATCCTTGTTTTTCTGTCCTTTTGTTACTTGCAAGATAATCCAGGTGGACAAGACATTTAACCAGAGAGCAAATCTTAAGTTTCAGTCTAGCCTCTTATAAAGCAGAAGTGAAAACCAAAACAAATACCATTTCAATTTTCATTTTGTTGTTTTTCCATAGAGCATGCATGGTATTTCTGGGAAATGGTTATGCTAATATTTCAGGGCTAAGTCCCATGAAAATGAAGAAGAAAGCACCTCCTCAAACACTATAATTGAGTTATTAAACACAGTAAAATGTGCAGGTCTTCCACATAAGTTTTCCTTTCAGTTTTTAATAGCTTTTTAGGTACATGTCTGCATTTCATCCATGCAGCACACAGCAGAGAAGATAAGGAGCCATCTATGCTGGCTGTTAGGCAAATAAGGAGTAATTACCAAAGCTAGTTTTGATTTAGCAGTGTTACAATTGGAGCCCAGTATTTTTGCCTATCTTTTACTACTAAAATGATCGCAAGACTTGACTAAAATTATTTCTCATCTGCCCACAGCCAGGCACCTAAATCTATATTTAAGCACCTGCAATCTAGTCTAGGCTGATTTTCAGGACATAAAGCATGTACTGTTCCCTCTGCTGTTCAAGGAATTTGTTTCAGGCTCAGTTTCTCCGAAAATTTCACTTCCTATTTAGGTCATTAAACCCAGAGGCAGGTTTATGCGATCACATTTGCTAAGACCATGCTTCTGGGTCATTCTTTTGTTGTGACTGGCCCTTCTCTACCCCCACTTTTTCCTCCAAAACAAGAAAAAAAAAGAGAAAATACTGATTCTTACAGAAAGTCTTATGATCATGTGGGTAGCATTGTCTCTCTACCCTTAGAGACCACGTTTCAGTGTTCCATCTGGCAAAGGTGTTCACAGCAGGGGACAAGGAAAACTTCTCAAAATGGACATTAAAAGTGCCTGTGTGGATGTGAATGTCAGGCTGAAACCTGCTTTTCCTGTAGCCAGACCCATGAGGAGTACTCACACCTTCACAGAGTTCCACCCCACTGGGACAGAGATCCTGAACTGACTATATAATGGAAACCCCAGGTAATGTGGGACCTGGAAGTTGTGCAGTATACTGGAGATCAACAAACCAAACCTGCTGGAACCACGCAGAAAAATGCTTCTGCCCACTGTACAAGCTGATCATTAGAGGCTGTTACTGCATCCCCCTGAACTATCCCATTTATCTCTAACAGCTGTTCAGCAGCAGCAGTGATTTCTGACAGTCCAGATTGCTTTTCATACTTGACAGTTCCTCGCTTTTCAGCTGGACTCGGCAGAACCCATTACATCACAGAATCATCATATTTGGGTTGGAAGGGACTTTAAAGCTCATACACTTCCAATCCCCCTGCTATGGGCAGGGACACCTTCCACTAGACAAGGTTGCTCCAAACCCTGTCCAGCCTGGCCTTGAACACTGCCAGGGATGGGGCAGCCACAGCTTCTCTGGGCAACCTGTGCCAGCGCATGACCATCTTCAGATTACAAATTACAGATCCTTCTAGTCCATTTCCTATGGTGTCCTGCTTAGGAGAGCAAGTGGAAATGCAGACTGTGCTATCCTAAATGCTAGGCCCCGGGCACTGCAATTAGGCACTGGAGACACATGGGCTGTGTCCAAGTAGTCTAACTTAAGTGTTACAACTTGGTATAGGTGGAGCCTATACCAGCACTGTCAATGCAAAATTAACAGGAAGGTTGAGATCTGGTGATGTTACGTGATGTTACACGTGGTGTTTTGATGATATATTCTTATTAAAATGAACAGGACTTTGCTGTCTCATGCCCTTGGGTTCCTCGGGATATTACCCAGGTGAGCAACAGCCTCGCTGGCCAAAGTTCTGGATGCTGCAGTTTTACCCTATGACACTGTACATGCTTCATCTGTGTGCACAGTCTAGAGATTTAGAAAGTACTTGCACATGGATTAAACAAAAGCCTTGGGGCTGGGGCTAGGGCTATGTGGAACTCTCAGAAAATCCATTTGGAAAGCAAGGGTTGATACCCTTATCCCACCCAACTGACCCTCAGACATGAGAGGTGTTGCTATACAAGCATGTAGCACCAAAGAGGGAGGCTCTTGGAGTTTTCTGTTACATGCTTGTGCAGAGGGGTTTTTTTTTTACTCCTCCTATTTCTATGGGCTGCTTACAAGACAAGAATGTCTGTGAGTTTTAATGGATTTAGAAGTCATAGCACAAAAGGGTGTCTTGGGAAGGAAACTGCTGTAACAGCTAGGAACAGAAGTGGGAAGATGATTTTCCTCCTGAGTGGTGACATTTTTATTTCACTGCAGCCCTGTTATGCTTAGGTATTTATTTTTGCACCAGAGAGCAGTAATATCGAGCAGATTGCAAAGTCAAGCAGGAAGGACTTAGACTGTCCAGTGTTTCCAGCACAGAGAAGACATTAGCCGAGTTCCTAACAAGGCCAGTTATGGGTTACAGAAGCAATCCAAGAACTGAAAAATCCCAAGTCCTCAGAAATGAGCAGTCACCAAAACAGCAGAACATTTTGTCACCACATCGGAAATCAAAACCAGCACATCAGAAATCAAAGCCTTCCATAGCATTACCTCCACCTATATGTAGCTCCCCAAACCAGCACATCCACCTTGTGTACATCTCAGCTGTTACTCTCCCACAGTGCACCTAAGTGTGGAGAATGCTTGCACTACTGGAAAACTGCAAGATGAGTAAGACCCAAAGGAGGTAGATCATGAGTGCAGGGCTGGTCATGGCCTCCAGCCCAGGATGCCTACCGCAAGTTGCCCTGAGACTGTCAGCTCTTACCTATGCTCACCTGACAGCCACATGAACAAATGGCAAAATGCTTACTTAACTCCATCATTAGGGCATAGCCCAGACCAACTGGTAACTCACCCAGTGGATATGAAATATTAAATGACAAAGGAGACCAGTATGGCAACTCCTAGGTAGTACACCTTCATTAAAGTTAATAAAATAGCTGCCGGAGGATTTACTCAAATGGTGGTGAAGTTTATCCTTCTAACAGAGGCTGAAGTCATACAAGAATCCTGAAAATATGCATCCTCTTTATACTCCTCATGATTACTGTTCTCAGCAGGAGGATGTTAAATGCATACCACCACTTGCTGAGTATGGAGCAACCCTGTGCCCCAGCACACAGCACCTGGACCCAACTGTTCTGCAAGAGGAGCCCTACAATCCAGGGTTCCTGCAAAGTCCCAGATTTCCTTCAAGATTTCCACCAAAACACATGATTTGGGAGAGCAAGTACCAGATATTTTTAAGAAGCAGCAGTCGTGTAGCTGCTGAACTCATGATGCAGTGGGTGTCATCTGAACACTGCTTTCCCAGTTATCCTCCTTGCTGCTGAGGAACCTGGCCCCAGCAGTGAGACAACTTGGGAGAAGGGAAGGTTGGGTGAGCTCAGACACTGGAAGAGACCAGAGACTCTGAGGCAGTGTGGCCAGCACTGAGTGACTACAACAGGTAGTGAGTCCTGCCCAAAGGATTTCAGGAGCAGATGCCATCACCCAGTATCCCAAAACATCAGAGTAAGGTACCTCATCGAGCTGAATGGATGGTGTTTCACTGAGGCTGTAAAGAAATTTGCAGGCAAATCATGCTATTGTTTCTCCCACAGCACCTCTCCAGAAAGAGACTCTCGTGTGAGACCTCAGTTGCTTTTGCTGTGTTCTACATTGATGCAGGCACACAGTAGTCCCACACTCACCGCTGGCATTTCAGCTCTGACTCAGGGTCTTTTTTCAGCAGGGAGCTGAATGCCACACTCTTGCTTCATGGTTTTGAGTCTTACGAGTTCTCTGAAGTCCTTGGCTGAACCCAAGCCCTCCCCCATCCCTGTGGCACTGGGATAGGAGCCATTATGTTCCACAGAGACGGCTATTCCTAAATTCTCCCGACATCTGCAGACAGTGCATAGCTGAGCATCGCTGCTGTGCCAACCTCTCTCTGACCTGTGATGGGTGCCACAACCTTTTGTTTGGTCCTGAAGGACATGGTGGCTTCAGAGAAGGGAAGTAAAATCCTACAGTAGCACATCTGCCCTGCATCAGGAGAAAACGGGGATTTTGCAAAGAGAAAAATGAGCCCCAGGCACCTCACAGCCAGCTGAGCAGATGAGTCATTTAGGGAGCTGGAGCTAACAAGAGCTACTTGCATATTTAATGCATCCCAGATTCCTGCCTGTTTTCAAATTGCTCAGGGATGTTTGCAGAAGTTCTGGGGATGTTGGAGCCTCATAGGCACACTTCAGCATCCTGAAGGGAGGAGATGTTTGACTTAGATACTTATCTCAGCACTTTTTGCTTCATAAACTTCTCTGCTGTGCTCAGGCATTAAACTCTCCAGGCTGGGAGGCACTCAGATGGATGAGGACCAGGGGAATAGCTCCGTGTCTTGGAGAAAGACAGAAAGACCTTTCTGGCAGTGAATGATCTCCATGTCTCCCCTTCCAGTACTGCTTCCACAGCACAATCATGAGCTTTGTTTCCTTGGGTAAACCAGATTAAAAAGGGAAAAAAGAAAAAAGACCTGTGAAATTCTGTTTTTAATTGCTGCTTGAGATGAGCCTGTGGGATGATCTTTCAGAAATACAGCTTTCTGTTCTGCAGGAATCTATAGAATCATCATAGAATCATACATATATAAGCTTCCACCATGTATCACTGGAAAAATACCTTCAAGTTGGGATGCTGGTGAAAAGTCTGCAAGGGGAGGATGCAGACCAGCAACATCAGCCTATGCCAAACCACTTTCTGAGATGTAATTTCAGGTCTCAACATAGCACTGGGATCCATCAGTGCTGCAACTCTGTGTAAATCCACTCTTCAAGTTATCCTGGGTGCTTTCTCACGATGCATGTCTTCCTACAGATGAATCAGGGAAGAGCGACACAGACCAAGCTTATTAACTTCTCTTTAATTAGGAACAGAAGAAAAATATCTAGACTTTTACCAATTATTTTACATAGAAAATATTTGAATGATGTATGAGGTGTTTTTGTGTCCATTTTGCTGTCTTTTATTTCCATGTAAAAATATATATCTGGTACATAAGCTTAAAAAAAATAGATTTTCACAACAAAATAAGTGCTTTGAGCACTAAAAATTCACCTATGCACCTTAATGTTAGCCTAAATATTTACATTTTCCAGCCACATCCCTCCCCCCATCCCAAAAATGGGCAAACCCCAGATTATAAATATCAGCTGTGTCTGGTATACAGAACCTTCCCAGAAGGGCAGGAAATACAAACATAATGCAGTGGCTCAGACAGTTTGATTTTAACTCCCTAAAACAGAAAAAAGACTTCAGCTCTTGTGAAAAGACAAATGGGACTTTAGTTATCAGGAGTTGCAAGCAGAAGAGAAGGAAATTTTGAGATGTGATACCATTCAGAGGAATAATGGTGCAGACCAGGTAGCAACAGTGTGCTTTCAAACGGTCAAAAGGGTTTAAGAAGGACTGTTCTTGCTTTTTTGCAAGAGCTGGGTAGATTAGGTATCTCAAAATCCTTCTTCACCTGATTTACTATACTGTAGAGTTGGAAAATGGAAAAACATCCATTTCTGCAGCCAGCATCTGCTGCTTTTGAGACAAAACAACATGTCAGGAAATGCTGACATATTGAAAATCAGGTTTTCTGGCAACAACTTCCTCCACTTTCTGAGTCTTTCTCAGGTAGACTGTGCTGATCACGATGAAAAGTGGCCTTGTTCACCTCCTCTGTCATGGGGCCACCTTGCCACTGGTCCAGGCAGTGTTGGATACATCTTAGAACATCATGAAGTCCCTCTGCCAAACATGAAAAATCCCTTGCAGGGGAAAATGGTCCTTTTGGTAAAGCATGAATTAGGGCAGAATGAGAGACATTCATAGCTTGTGGTTAAAAATGGTACATCAGCAACTAACCACATGAAGGCAGCTTGGATCGAATGTCACCAACTTTGTTATCCAAGATAACATCTTGGATGTTACCACAAACCCACTGCATGTGGGAATGTAAGAGGCATTACTCATTAGCCAAGTTCATACCTGCTCACAGGGCAGGAATCACTGATGAAACATTTGGAGATAGTGTAGATGAGCACAAAACAAGAGGAAGGGTAGCTGAGGGGATGTTAGCAAACACAGAATTCACTCATAGAAACTGGAGTGTGCAAACATCAACCAAACTTGCCTTGTTCTCCAGTAAGTCAGTGGCTTTCCTTGGCAGGAGCCATACAACAGAGACTGGGATCTATAACAAAAAATCCCAAAACTTCTGTCCAGAGGTGCTTGGCAAGCTTAGGCTTTGGCCGTGGCCTGAAGAGGCTCTTCTGCAGCGTTCATAGTTCATTGAGTTGAAATGCCCAGAGCAAGTCCACAGGAAGAGGTCTTCTACCACAGGGTGCCTTGTCCCATCAGACTCCAAATGAGCCAGCTGAGTTCACCTGCCAAAATGCTTCAGTGGCAAATTCGTTCTGTCATTTCTTTCTGCATTGGAGGGGGAGAGAGAAGAAAGAAACAGTAAGTGCAAAAGACAGGTTTTGGTAGAGTGACATGTCAGTTTGGTAGGTGTCCAAAAACAACCCAAAGAAGTGACTGTGGAAGTCTCAGGGAGTGTTTCTGTATTTCCCATGCCAGCCCTCATGGGAACTGCTCTGCCTCAGCAGCTCCTTCCTGGCATCCTCCTCAGTTTCTGTGGCACAAGGCTTTTTTGGCAGCCTAGCTTTGAGAACGGTCCAAGGAAAGAGCTGAGATGTTGAAAGATGCAGGTCCTGCTCCTGACTCAGCTATGGAGCAGCCAAACAAGGCTGTGCTGCTCTTGGAGCCCCTGTTTGCAGCAGCTGAGGGAGACAAGACATGGAGGTGCTCCCAACTCTTGCTCCAGAAGATAACAAGAGCTCACCCAAAGACCTGTGGTTTTGGTGAGGCATCCCACAGTCACACTGCAACATAAATGAGTGCTATTAAGAGGGCCAAAGGAAAGCTCCTGCAAGACTGAGCTGTGTTTGGGCTGACAGACTCTTTTCTTTAGCCAGGGTGGCATCATGCCAGCTGCCTTACGAGGTACCCAGCTTTCAGGTGGTGGAAGATGGTATTTGTTCTTTCCTGAAGCTTTGAAATCATCTACTGTAGTGAGGGAATTTTGTGATTCTCTCTGGCTCATCAGGTTCATGGATTGTGAATGTGTTTGCACACCGACCCTGTCACAGACCCTAAAGGTTTGCACATGAAAATGTACTCCCAAAATAGAGCTGAAGTGGGACTGGTCTGCAGAGAGGAAGGTTGCAGCTGAAAAAAGAACCAAGAAAGTAGGATGACCTGTGAGTAACCCTGTAAAAGTCCCTTTAGTGATATAACCAAGGGGGACAAAAGCTGTAATTTCAGCTCTTTAGTGGTGAGAGATTTGTTTTTAAAATCCACAGGGGGAGAGTGGCAAAGAGGGGGCTTCTCTGTAGGAGTAACATGCAAAATCACTCAAGCAGCAGAACCTTACCAGCAAATCAAAAGCCAATGCCCTGCCACAAAACTATGTTGGAAATGTTTGCAGACATCTCAGAAGGAGAAAGAAAAAGGGGTGAGAAGACTGAACATCCAACATCCTCTTGCAACAGCATCCAGCCTACCCTACTAGCACAGCACCACACACCAAAGCAGCCTTGAACTGGGTGGACTGAAGCAATCGGTGGGCTGACAAACCACCTATGAGCTCCTTAAGCTGTCCCCAAATGTCCAAAACATTCATCAGACTGAAAATCCCCACAGCTCTGCCTTAGGAGATAATCAATTGGACCTCTGCCAGTGCTGCTGCCCAGCACCGTGACCTGTTCTTGTCAAGGCAACAAGTGCACGGCTTCTCTCTGCCCCCGTATTTCTTGATCTGCTAAGAGAGTGAATCACTGCCTTGTGCTGGTTCTGCCTATACAAAGGATCTCTTTCATTCTTGGCTCCAAGGACTTGCTGCTAAGAAATCATGCCTCAGAGAAGCTTGACAAAAGGGAAACTTAGGCAGCAAAGGGAGATTCTGCCAGAGGCAGGTTTAGAAACTGAGAACTCCTTCATCCCACTATCTCTGTAATTTTTCAAAGCTGGTTGAGCCTAACAAGACATCTTTTGGCTGGGGAGGTGCTCTTGTTTTCTTTCTTACTCCTCAATCTGAAAAGCTTCAACCATAATACAGCACTCAGATCTGCTGTCCTGCTCCAGATATGCTCCGTCCACGTGCGTAGTGGCCTTCCATAATCACGTGCATGGAACAAGCACCTCTGCAGGCAGGAGTCTCTTCTGTCATGGGATTCATGAGGACTAACTCTGGACATCTAAATGTAAGGTTAGGACAGTTTTCTGGGCTCATGAGGCAGTCAAGAGAGACTGAACCTCCCAAGGACACTTTATCTCGTCCCTACTGAGGGGTTATCGCTTTTCCACAAACCTTGAGTACTTGCAAAAACAAAACCTTGCAGTCTTAGCCTAAAATGTAGGCAGATGGAATGCGCTGTCTGCCCTTGCTTAAGAGTCAAACCAGCTCATGAATCCTTCAGGACTTAAAAACACTTGTGTTAGTGTTTTAGCAGGACAGCAGCTATAGTGCAGCCACAGGAGAGTGAACTGAGATCAAGTGTAGAGTGCTGAAGAGGCTGGATGTTACTATTTGTGCATCTTCACAACTGCTGCTGAAGCCAAGCCAGAGCAGCATGAATCCCCACACCAGGCTCCCAGGGGCTCAAGAAACTTCCCATTATTACTTCCCTGCCTGCAGCAGAAAGAAATGCTGTTGGAAGCTTTTGGATCAATCCTAACCCTTGCAGACTTTGGGACTGATGCAGTGTCAAGCTGAGGCCTCCCTGGGGTTGGCCTGAAGGACCATTTTCAGGTTTTGAAAGTTGTTCATGAGCTGCAGCAACCTGCCCTCTCTCCTCAACTCAGCATTGCACCCTGGACACAGCCGTCCTCTGGTTGCAGGACACTCGTACACACCTACAGCAAGTCATTGCCTGAGGGAAGGGGGTGTGCCATGCAGTTGGGTCTGCTTGCAGCTTGGAAGCCAGGCAGTGGGCACACCACAAAATGACACGCAGCTAGACCACAGCTAAATGTGTCTCATTTCCTTATGGTTTAAGCCTGGTTGCATCACACACGAAAATCTGTTCATGTTAGATTCATCCAGACCCATAAATCATCTCATGTTGCGCGCGTGAGTCACTGGCATTGAAAGCCTGTTTAGCTATGTCAGCCTCTGCTTTGGCTATTAGGTGCTAATTATTGGCATTAGCAAGCATCAGTCAAAGGAGATGACACCATTATGGGCTGTATATCAAATGCTAAAGAAGTTTGTTATGAGGAGTGGTGGTGAGGGAGACTAACTGGACAGAGTGAGCCTGAGCTGCCATTTTCTGGAGCCGAGGGCCATTGTGGTAATACAGGTCACAATCAAACTCTAGGAAATAATTCATGTAGATGCTGTTGCCATTCAAGTCTCCCCTGATTAGATCATCATCTCTCCATCCCCCCCAATCATGACAGGAGCAGACAGGCAGCAAATTGACTGAAACAAATGAAAGCAGAGGAGTAACACTCTGGAACTCTTCTCATCCCTTTCTCTCTCTGGGATTATATCCCTCTGGTCTTCCCTGGCTCTCTATTCCTGGATGTGACCTTTTCTGCAACCCAGCCCTATCACAGCATGCTAAGTACTGGGTTCCCTATTAATTCTTCTCCTCCCCACTGCAACATGACTTCTTTAGGTCATGTTGTTTAACTTTGCCTGTGACACACTTGCTTCTCTTACAAAACTATGTTTTGTTTTCTAGTTCCCAAGCTGTCTGGCCTCTGCTTCCCACCAGTCCTGCTGTTTTCAAGGACTCTCACTCTCTGCCTGGCTAATTGCTTCCCAAGGGAGGCTGCAGAGAAACTGGAACTCCAGCGAGGCACCTCCAGTGAGGCATCCATAGCAGTTTTTTGGAGGTGTATATCCTACTGGGGCTTGCCTTCCTGCAGCCTTATTGTAATTCATAATAGGATCTCAAGCAAGGCACTTAGTCTGCTAACAGGAAAACTCAAGGCTCTAGAGAGGAGACTTGAGCTCAGATCTGCCCTCTGAAAGCCATGGCTGGGGACACTTCAATGTGCAAACTGCATTAGAGTTACTGAGACAGTATAGAGGGACACTATGTTACTGTTTTCCTGAGGACAATGAAGAGCAATGCATAAGACACGGCAGCAGAAGCAGAGTTTAAGAGGGGTTTTCAAAGTATAAAGGGTTGCTGAGAAGTTCTAAGAGCGCTAAGGTTGATGGTTACAGGACAGAGAACATGGGTGTGCTTCTGAATCAAGGTGAATGAAAAGAGTCTAGAGAGGGTGACTGCACTGCTCAGAGTGCAGCCCCCAACTAAACACACCAGTCCTGCATTCAGGTCATGCCACTCATGCTGTCCACCTCCCATCCCTGAGGCATCCTTACCAAAGGCTCCAGCTCCCGATGGTCAACGAGGCTGAACTCCCTGATGAAGTAGTAAAAGTGCTTGTAGCAGGTGTTGACATGAGCCTCAGCACCCATGTTGATGATGCTGTCGAAGTGGTGGATGTAGACATGGACAAAGACACGGAAGAGCCGGGTGAGGATCTTAGTGCAAACTTGCTGGAACTGCTTGGGGAAGGGAACACCTGCAAAGCAGAAGCAAGTTGGAAGCCATTTGACCATTAAAATAAAACATAAACCAGCTAGTGTTTAAATGTCACTGTCATGCTTAACAGGCAGTCATGGGTGGTGAGGTAGGATCAAGAGCTAAACTGGACAATATGCCATCTAGCTCTCCTCACATACTTCCGTATTGCCCAACCAGCAATTTCACACAGGCATGGTCTGAGGATCTGGGGAGTTTCCCTTGGAGAGAAAATTTCTCATCCATTGTAGAGAGAAATCTCTGTCATCCAGAGCAGTCTGGCAGAGGATCATGCCCTCTCTCCCTGCTTTTCCTTACAAGCCTGTGCAGGCACAGCATAAGGCAAAGTGTATTTAGCCAGGTCCATGAAGAAAACTAGACTTCCTCCCAGCAGGAAAGATACCTTCCTGGTCCTCTGAATCAAAAGCATGGTTCATACTGTTTTCCACACACCCTCAAACATCACTTCTGATGTATCACTAGAAACAGGTGGGGTTTCTATTCTTTTCTTGATCCTTGTTTCAAACGCATCTCATTAAAACAGGAAGAAAACTGCCTTAATGATGCTTAGGTTGTAATTTCATTGCACCTGTATGACGCTCCCCTCGAGAGGTCCTCCCAGGATGATCCAGAACAGGACCCACCACAAGTAACTCTGTACTTTTAGCCTAGTCCCACACAAAGACACGATTTACTCTGCATTTTCATCCTTGCTTAAGTGAACTGTTAGCACGGTGAAAACCTCAGAGGTGTGATACAGCCAGTGTCAGCAAGCTTGGGGTAAATCTCTAAAGGAAACATTGACTTTGAAACACCAAATATCTATTTTGCAGGAGGAGGAAAATGAAACAAGTGGAATTTGTTTTCCTGAAGCTCCTTCCTCCCCCCTGAGCAATTCAATGCAAATTTGCAAAGAACAGAATAAACACCTCCCTTCCCACGGCTGTACCAGCCTTCTCCCTTAGCTTTTTATTAATGCAGCACATAACCTCTTAAAAACCTCTCCAAATAGTCTGTGCTCAGGCATGGCCAGCTCACTGGCTCACCCATTTGCACTGTGGAAAGCACCAGTAAGTCTCTCAGTTAAAAAAAAAAGAATTAAAAATGGTAATTTTATCTTTGAATCTTTCTCATCAGCCTCACAAGGCAATTAAACCATTGTTCTCAAAGGCTCCCAGCAGTTTTGTTTCCCATGCCCTTACCCTCCATGGGTGGGAATTGCCAAGGAGCTGTTCTTCCAGCATCATGCATGGAGCCTGTGTTTCCAATGGCCAGGGTTTCATGGGTGCTTTGTTCAGTACTGCAGCACTCGTGACAGAAAAACACCCTTCTTTGATCTAAAACAGGCTCATCCTAGCCCAGTCTTGCCTTGCTTTGTACACAGCATGAACGTAGTTAGCAATGGGGGATGTCCCAGGCACCATTTGGAGGAGAACACATAGTTCAGCTCAGTGTCACACATATGGAGAGGTGGTTTTGAGGCTGATTCATGGCTGCTGCTCTGCACAACCATGAGCACGCCGCAGCCTCAGGGCTGTTACTGCAGCAGGGACCTCGGCATGACCCATTTCACTGACAGCTCTAGCACATCCCATTAGGACTTTCTGGGAAAGGTACTCATCTGGCAAAGTACAACCAGGCTCTCCCCATGCCAGCACCTTAGGGTTGGTAGCGATCATCTGCTTCTGCCCTGCACCCTTGGCTGCAGAGCTCTCCTTGTGTGCCAGTCTGATAAGAGCAGGGATCAGAGAGAGGTCTCCAAGTTTCCCTGCAGTCTGGAGGGACACTGTGCTTTATCAACAGCTTCATTTGAGCTTTTTGCACTGAGTGAGAATTTGCTGAGCAAATAAAAGCCGTAATCACCCATCTGGGGGCTCAGAGATGCTGTTAGGGCATCCCCTGCAGACCTGCTTTGAAGAATCAGTCAAGAAACATTGTTTTTAATAAAGACAGATTCATCATGGCAAGTAGTTTCTAATGGATGCACAGTGCCAGACGCCGGCTGGGGAATACACGCTGTTCTGAACAGCCTGTCTTGTGGGACCAGAGGTGACAGTCACTGCAGGGATCTCAGCAAGGTGCTACCAGGCAGACAGCAGCACATTTGTTGCCTCCAGTTTGTCACCCATCCTACTTGCCTACTTGTCAAAGCAGGCAGTAAGGATGAAATCAGACCTGACCAGCCACCCGGAGTTTATCGCCAGATTGGGAAGAGTGATAAGTGAAGGAAAGCAGCAAACCTCGACCCAGTCCTGAGCTGAGAAAGAAATAAGGTCAGACATGAACAACAGACCAAAGGAGCTCAGACTCCCAGGGCTAATAGCATCTATAGTCCAGATACTGCTGTCAGATGAGTGACCTCCAGAGCTGGCAGATGTTGACAAGTGGCTTTTCATCACTTTTGTCCTGAGGATAGCCAGGGAGCACCTTATTCTATAAATCAGTTACCAGCAAGTCTTCATGGACATGCTGCTATCCAAGAGGGGGAAACACTTCTAGCCACATCCTGGGTTCTCCAAAGAACAGCTCTTGTATCAGGGAACAGGGGTGTAGCATAAATCATAGCTCATAGAATAGTTTGGGTTGAAAGGGACATTTAAAGGTCATCTTTAAGCCTACCCCACCACAGTGCCTTCACGTGAACCAGCTCCTGGAAGGTGAAGTTGGGCTGCTCTTCTTTGTGTCCATCACAAGGTGTCAGTGTTTGTGGCCATCCCCTCCAGATGTGGCCAGCCTGTAGTGGTGGCTGGCTCTAATGCCACTAGTGGACAAGTGGTGGCTGGCTCTAATGGGCACTAATGCCACTAATGAACAAGTCACCCCTCACCCTACCATGTCATGACACCACCACCCACCGTGGTCCCTTGGATCCAGGGATTACAGCTCCAGCTTGGCTCTTTCTGCCCACATCACCCCTTTCACTCACACATGTGCCTAGGGAGGCATGAGCAGCCCTAGCAGCACAGGGCACAACCCTGGACCATCGAGTCCTGCTGCCTCTCCCCATGCTGCAACCACATCTGCACCTCCTGTGCCAGGACCCTCAACATAGGCTACAGATGCTTCACTGGACCCTGTGTCTGGCACAGGAGCCCACACCAGTTGATCAAAGCATTTCCCATGGGAAGGAAGCAGGGTGGATATGTGATAAGCAGGTTACCTCCACCAGCAGCAGTCGTGTCTTGCTGCTGGTCTCTAGTGGCTTGGAAAGAAACCCACAGCAGCCGCAGCAGGCACTGGCCACGCTGGCAAGGAGATGGAGACATTCCCCATCCCCTCACCCAGAGCTGACAGGAAAGGGCTCTCCACCAGAGCCTGCATCTGACCAACCCATGGAGAGCAGCAGAAAGATGTGGCATAAATAGCCTTGCCCTGGGTCACGGCTGCTGGCTCAGCGGATGTCCAGCAGACAATGCATGTGACATCCTCCTCCAGCACGCGAGGACACACAGCAAGAGCAGGCTGTGCCTCCTCCCTGCAGCCACCACATCCCAGCGAAGGGCAAGCCCTGGAACAGGGATCTCAGTGCTATCCTGTTCTTGCAGGTGTTGAGCTTTAAACCAGTCAGTTCACATCAGAGTCATCCTGGCTGGTAATAGGGGTCATCATGCATTCCCCAAGCACAGAGGGTGACAGGCTGCTCCCCCAAATGACTCCCACCTCCCAGTCAGGCTGGGCTAAGCAGATCAGTGTTACAACTAATGGGGCAGAGAGACCCCATTAGTGGCCAATATGCTGATAAGCAGCACTTGGGAATGGAGCTGTGGTGGCCCTTGTTTGGGGAACTTACTCCATCTCAGAGGTGGTGCATGGTGGCACAGACCAGCAGAAGTAGCAACTTGGAGAAACAAAGGAATGATGCTGGTGGGACTGACACTGCATGGCTGAGATGATCTGTTAGCAGGAGTATGGCAGGCCAGGGCAAAGTTAGGAGGTAGCACAGCCGGGTGATGCTGCTTGGGTTTGCTTCACCCTTCACAGCCCTACACACAGGGACCCAGCAATGGCATCCCAGTGCATCCTGCTGATGCTGGTCCCAGCTGCCCTAAGGGACAGCAGAATATCACAAAACCCACCTGGGTTGATTTAAAGGCACTGAATTTAACTTTACATTTAATTCACTGTGCTCACCGTCCAGCAGCCTTGCTGCTTTCGCAGCAGCAAACCCACAGTCTGGCAGGCAGTAGCCCCCCTCTGACTCTCCTTGCATGATGAGTGATGAGGAGGGGACTACAGGGTGCAATATGAACTTCATCAGATACAGGAAAAAGATTTATACACAAGGTCAGCTCTTCTCCTCCCATTATCTAGGTGTGCACTACCCAGATGCTGCACACAGACCAGGCAGCTGGTGGCTCGGAACATCACTTATCCCAGCATGGAAACAGCCCAGTCCCAGAAGGAGCGGAGCAGAGCAGCAATCCCCTGCAGCAGAAAAGGGAGAACCTTACCCCTGTTCCAAGCCAGGGCAAAGCTGTAAGTACAGCAGGTACAATTTCACTGCAACGCAGCCAGGGCACTGGTGAGCAGTGTGACTCACAGCCCTGAAATGAATTAGCACCTTCAGTTTATCTTGGATGTTTCGCTTGAAAACCCCAAGATGTGATTCAATGCTCCAAAAAAAGCTGCTTTCCCCACTCTCTGCTGATTGCTTCAAAGCATAAAGAAACCATGTGGGACCACGTGTAAAAGGATATGAAAATGAGAGTTAACAAAGTGCCTGCGCTTACAGTACAGGACTGCAAATGGCTCTCGGATCTCTCCTGCCCCCTCTCCTGTCCCTAACCCTTGTGCTCCAGCCAATTTAATATCTTCAGAATGAATCAGTACTGGGAAGCTGTTTTGCTTCTTGGCAATTGTATTTTTTCCTCTGCAAAAGCAGTACTTCAGTGAACTATGTAATGAATTACTGTTGTTGTTATTATTTCTCAATTCCATTTTGGCCACCGTGGTGTTGGTGATTAATTTTTGCCTAAAAATAAGTCTTTAAAGCCCCATTTAAAACTAATGGCACCATGGCAGCTGCAAGCGGGTGTGAAAGAAGCTGGAAGAAAATAGGGAAAAAAAGAAGACAAAGCATGTAAAAAATAGCCAGCTGAGAGAAGGGCAATAATTAGCTGAATCCTGAACGTTTTCCTCCTGTTGTTATGGGGAGAAAGTATCGGATAATTTCACACCAAGTTCTCTCTGCATTTCATAATTGTTTTGGGACAACGCTGGAACGGCAGAGCTTGAGTTTTGAAAAGCTTTCTAAGAACTGTTCCAAACCCTCCTGTGACTGACGCTCTGTAGAGCTGCAGGCACATTTGGCAGAGAGCACGGGGTGTTTCCGGCGCTGGGTCTGGTCCAAGCCCTGCATCTGCACTGATTTAATAACGCCACAGTGGTGCTGATGGAAGACGCCTGTGTGCAACCAGCAACCTGATGCTGGGCTGACAATGCAGACACAGCGGGCTGCCACGGGCCCTGCAAACCCCATCCAGACAACTCTGGGCAGCTTCCTAAAACCAGGCACCACAGGGCAGAATGATTACTGGAAAGAGTTGATATTTTCCACATGATGATCTATTCATGTGGCCACTCGCTGAAGAAATTTACTGATATAGTTTTACCAGCTGGTAAACTATGATTCTACACCTGTAGAATCATTTATTCTTCTCCTTGAATGGGAACAATGCTTATTCTCCATTTAAATGTGTTTTTCAGGACAGCTATGTTGGTTGGAAGAGTGGAAACAGAGCACTAGCATATGCAAACTGATACAGGTTGTCTGGGAAAGCTGCTGCTGCTGCAGATTTATAGCAGGCAGGTTGGCATAGCTCACCCCATGCAGGGATTTGTCTCGTCTTGACTGGCAGACAAACAGGTTTCTGCTCCAGAGGAAGGATTATGCAGCAAAGTCTTTAAGCGTGACCGAGCCCTGCAGGTAGATGGGGAAGACAGCATCTCTCCCCAGTTGTTGCTGTGTTACACAACAGCGGCCCCATTAAATCACCATAAGGATTTTCTGCTGATGGAGGCAGCTATCCAAGGGCTGTGGTCCTGATGGTTACCTCTGCCAGGTCACAAGCTGTCTGCTGGCATCAGGCTCTCTTGCTGGAGCTGGGACAAGGACCTGTGCAGTGGTGCAACTGAAGCATCTCACTAGAGATGCTCACTGGAGTTGTGCCCTGTGATGCCGAAGGACCCTGTGAGCCCACAAACCACTGAACCATCTCTGCTTATTTCCAGCTGAGCTTCTCACCCTGGGGTGAAGGATTTCCCTTCTCTGACCTGTGAGATACCTCTCCTTTAACTGTCAGGACAGCCATGAGCAAGCCCCACTAAATCATGTGCTGCTTCAGGCTTTGTAGCTGTTGGATAGAGAAGGATGCTGTGGTTAGCCTCAGGCAACATTAGCAAGCTTGGGGAACACTTACTTAAAGGAAAAATATAAAAGAGATGTCTGTTTTGTCTGCGGTCAGGTGGCCTTAGCCAGGAAAATGGGAAATCTTGGTGCTGGGACAGTTTTATTGCATATGGCAAAGAGGGGCTACGAGGGAAAGCTGAGATGCACACTGCTCATGGAACACTCACCGAGACAGTGGTCAGCTGTGTCAGTGGACCTCAGTAGTACAAGCAGGAGTGGAACAAACCTTCACACTAAACCCCATCTCTGCTGCTAATATTGAAAAGCTCACCCTGCCTCCAAAGCATGACATTTATAATTTCCCTTCATCCCTTCATCAGACTCAAATCCTCTCCTTCAAACAGCTCACATCTCCCCTGTGTCCTCTAGGCGCCTTATTCCTCTGATCCTGGGTCTCTTCCAGAGAGGCTGGCTCTTTAGGAGGGAGGCTGAGCATCTCTGTTTGCTAGTCCCTGAGCCCCATGTCTTTCCCCTCTGTGTGTCCTCCAGCCTACCCCATCATCCGGTGCAGTGACAAGGAGCAGCCCATCAGGAACATCACATCAAGATGTGACATTTCCCTTCGGCCAAACACCTCCATGTCCTAAGATGCCAGAGCTACCGAGCAATTACCCAGCACACAAGGCAGGCTGGTGAAAGACAGTTAACAGGGGACACACTGATGACAAAGTGCCACCAGCTCCTTCCTACCCCTGCTTCCCACAACAGCCTTTCATGTGTTTTAAAGTGTGATCTCAGCCTAAGCTCCCTTTCAGATGTGGGAGGCCACAACCACCAAGCTGTGCCTGCAAGGGGGTTGAAGTCACTCGGGGACACAAAGGTCCCTGTGACAAAAGGGCTTGGAAGAGGGGCCACAGGAATGGCTTTGGAAGAGAGGAAAATGGGTTTTCCCCATGAGTGCCTGCAGCCAGCCCGGATCTCACCCAGAACTGCTCCCATAGCAAAGTAAAAGGAGAAGTGGAAATGAGAGGCACCAGCTGTTCCTCCTCATGGCAGGATGTGTTACACCTTGGAGGCAAAAATGACAGAAATGGGCTGAAAACCAGCAAGGTCACAACTGCGCTTCGCTTTTGCTCCTCAGAGGGAGACATGAGAGAGCAGAGGGTGCTGTAGACTCCCTGTAGCACTGACTCCCCAGGGCAGCTTTCAAGCAGCATCAAATCCCACCTGAAAGGCATGAAATTGGGCCAGGACACTCTCATTTCTATCTGGAGGGAAAACTGAGTAAATCCATATCTGTGCCCCTGCTTTTAATGGTGTGTAGAGCTGCTCCTTGGGAAGAGGCAGACCTAGCTTGTATCCTGTGGCTGCTGTTTCACCCCTTGACAGCAGCCAGAATCAATGAGGATTTTGTTGAGACTGCCAGCATGGAGTATCCCACACCAGCACTATCAGCCAGCCACACTTCCAGCCTCCTCTATCCATTGGGATGTGTGGAGCCCACTGAGCCCACTAGGGAGGGATGCCACCATGGCACAGCAAATGCCCCCAGTGAATCCTAGGGGCTGACTCCCCCGTGTGCCCCAAAGACAGCCTGTCTGTCTGTCTTCCAGCATGAGGATCTGGCACTGCACTTACCTTGCCTTCCCCTCTTGCCTGTGGAGAGCCAAGAGCCAGAGATTATCCCACAAAAGATGCACAACTAGATGCTGCAGCATAGACAATCAGGGCTACAACACCTAGTGGCTGCTGGTAATCCCACACAGACCATTTTCTTCAACGTTTCCCAGCATATTAATGAAAATCCCGAGCCTCAACTGCACTGTTTTCATATGGCTCTGTCAACTGTGCTGCTTGAGAAAACAAACAAGGTCAAGCAACCTTGCAAAGCTGTATCTTTCCTCTTGAAGCTCCTTAAATATTCTTTTACATTCAAGTACCTTTGCATTTCATCTGAAAAGCAACCACACCATGGCACACCTGAGGCTCCAGCAGCCCCACCAGCCTACGCATCAGCTCCAACCCTTGAACTCATCTCCCCAAAGGACAAGAAAGCAGCTAAGTAGCAGGGCTAACATCAGCCCTGTCAGCTGCCAAGCACTGCAGGTCAGCAGCAGAGAGGTTACTTTCAAGCTGAGGTGCCTTTGGCAGCTGCTGCAAGCTCCTAAGGCCAAACATTTTGAAGGGGTACATCGTATACCCTGGGGATTGGCAGCTGGAAAGGCCAGATTCCAGGGACAGTAAGAATGTAAGTAGTAAGAATGTGATGTATAATCGGGGCTGAGATGAATTAGCAGAGGTGGAAAGGAGCTGAGAAGTGAAACAAGGTGGGATGAGGATTGGGCCTTGGGACCACCTTTAACCAGCCCTGTGGTTCAGCTCCTTGAGGAAGTGCAAGGATGCAAGCTGATGATCTACCTGCCCTTATTTCTGCAAACACAGAATACTTGGAAAAAGCACAGAAAAGGAGAACATTGTTTTCTACATCCTCTAGGAGCAAGACAAGGGCTCCCAGGCTCAACCTGGGACACTGAGGAACACCTGGAACAGGAAAGGCCACGATCCTTGGCACCACAAAGTCAGCAACACCAACCCTGAGGTGCATCATCAGAACCTGCCCCAGTTACAACCCCAGCCTTCTCATAAAGAACCGGAGCACACTCACCTATTCTGGTGGGGAAGATGTCCTCGTTGTTAATGAGCATCTCGATCCAGTCCATCAGCATACACATGTACTGCGGAGCCGACAGCTTGGTTGGCTTCTTGTACTTGCTATCATCCTGCCACCTGTACTCGTACTTGAGTCCACCAGACATGATGGGGCAGCTCCTTTCCGTGCAGTACTCCGACATGGTGCCGTAGATGAGGTTGATGCGATTGAAGAAGTCCACCACATGCACTGCGATCCAGTCATTGATGCTCTCACCGGGAGGCAGCTGCACCACTGATTTCAGGTCCAGCCCAGACTTGAGGGAGGCCTGGGCTTTCTTGTACAGCTCAAAGCGCTGGGTGCCTGGCTCAAACTTCTTTCGGGGTCGAAACGTTTTGTCTTTGTTGAAGACTTGCTTGAGACACAATGCCATCATGGGTAGGGGTGGCCAGGGTGAGGGCAGAGGCTCAGTGCAGCGTCAAACCCAAAGCTGGGGTCTTCAGAGGTGGAGGTATCTGTGAGTAGAAAGAGGCAAATTTTAGTCGCATATGAAGCCAACATGGGCACGCTCACAGGGATGAGCTTGCACCAGGATGCTGGCTGGCACTGCTGCTCTGGCAGCACATAGGGATGGAGATTTGCGGTAAGCTCCTGGCCCCTCCACATCCGGGTGACTTGAAGCAGCTGATGCGACCTCACACAGCAGCTCCTGGCACTGGAAAGGGTGAGCAGTGTGCACCTGCAGCCCAGAAATCCAACCATATCCTGGGCTGCATCAAAAGCAGCGTGACCAGCAGGTTGAAGGAGGTGATCCTGCCCCTTTATTCTGCTCTCGTGAGACCTCACTTGGAGTATTGTGTGCAGTTCTGGTGTCCTCAACATAAAAAGGACATGGAACTGTTGGAACAAGTCCAGAGGAGGGCCACGAGGATGATCAGGGGACTGGAGCACCTCCCATATAAAGATCGGCTGAGAAAGTTGGGGCTGTTCAGCCTGGAGAAGAGAAGGCTGCATGGAGACCTCATAGCAGCCTTCCAGTATCTGAAGGGGGCCTATAGGGATGCTGGGGAGGGACTCTTCATTGGGGACTGTAGTGACAGGACAAGGGGTAATGGGTTAAAACTTAAACAGGGGGAGTTTAGATTGGATATAAGGAGGAAATTCTTTCCTGTTAGGATGGTGAGGCACTGGAATGGGTTGCCCAGGGAGGTTGTGAATGCTCCATCCCTGGCAGTGTTCAAGGCCAGGTTGGACAAGGCCTTGGGTGTTATGGTTTAGAGCGAGGTGTCCCTGCCCATGGCAGAGGGGTTGGAACTTGATGACCTTAAGGTCCTTTCCAGTCCTAACTATTCTATGATTCTATGTACCATGTGCAAGGCTCAATGGCAGGCAGAGCCGTTCCTCACTTCTGCGCGCACTGGGACCTCATCAGGCTTCATCCAAGCTCTTACCTTTTATCAATAATTGCTACAATAAGGCAAGAGCCACGACATCAGTAGAGTTCACCAGCCCAGGAAGTCCCAACCTGGTGGCCTTTTCCTCTTCTGGCCAAGGGAAGCATCTCTTTCCCAGGGATTTCTCAGGACAAATAACCCCTGTCCCACTACTGCGGCTGGTGAGCGATGCTCTGGGAACTGCACTGTGAGCGCAGCTGGCTGCTGGTTCACACAGCCCCAGTCCGACATCAATGGGAAGAAGGGGGATTATTTTTGTTGTTCTGCCCCGTGTGTTTGTCCAACAGAACAAAACACGCATCCGAAGAAGGGAAACGGCAGCACAACAACACAACGTGCCAGGATGCGGCCAGCCCTCGGCGTGCACACAATGAACACAACAGTTGGAGTGGCTGATGCTCCTCTGGGTGACTCGGTCTGGAAGTCACAGCTCAGCAAAGTGCTGAGCTCACCCCTTCCTGCCCGAGTTAGGAGTTATTTCCCTTTGTTCCTTTTCCTCCCTGAAGCTCCAGTGGAAATCCCATCCGCCCCAGACTGACCGGTGTGTTTTGTTACCTGCACTCATCACCTGTAGTGGTAACGTGAGATCAAGGCCCCTTTCTGCTAAATGCTTTCATGAGGCTTAGAGAAGAGAAGGTCCTTCAACAGCATCCCCCCAACAGGAGGAGATGGAGAAAGAGTTAAAAAAAAAGGAAGGAAAAGATTCACGGAAAGGGGAAGTGACCTACCCAAAGTCACAAGCAGGAGGGAATGGTGCCCCAGCAAAACTTGGATGCACATTCCTCATTAAAAAGACAGCCTGTAGGCAAAAGCTTGCTGTATAAACTCTGTTTACTCTGTTGCTCCCCTTAAAACCCACACACGGGAGCATCACTGGAGGGAAAAGGACCTACTGATCATCCCAAACACTCTCAGGATCTGCCCGATGGGGATTTCTATACCACAGTCAGCACGTGGCTGTGCGGGAGAAACCTTTGTGTGGTTGGAAACCCCAGCACGAGTGCCATTAGTGCTCTAACCATGGCCTTTCCTACAGGCTGGAGTGTTGCTTTGCCACCGTTAGGTAGCTCACAGCATGGTGGTACCAAACCCTGCCATGCTCTGCTGTACCCAGTTACAACCTGACCTGAAACCATATGGTTTAAGTGCTTTATGCCCCATGGAAAGGGTCACAGCCATCATGCAATGTTATGCGGTATGACTTTCATAGTGGGGTATCTGTAAACCTTCCCCAGCACATGTGGCTGGGTGGGATTTTAATGGGTTCCCATTTTAGTGGTAAGACAAGAGAGAATGTCTTTAAGCTGAAAGAGGGGAGATTTAGATTAGACATTAGGAAAGAAACTCTTCCCTGTGAGGGTGCTGAGGCAGTGGCACAGGTTGCCTGGAGGAGCTGTGGCTGCCCCATCCCTGGCAGTGTTCAAGGCCAGGTTGGATGGGGCTTGGAGCAACCTGTTCTAGTGGAAGGTGTCCCTGGCCATGGCAGGGGGTTGGAACTGAGTGAGCTTTAAGGTCCCTTCCAACCCAAACCACTCTATGATTCTGTGATATATCACTGAAGGGCAGTGACTGGGGAATGTTTCTTGGATGCTTTTTCCTCCCCTACCCCAAGCAGGCTCCAACCATATCAAAGGACTTGTTCCCCACTTCAGAAAAAGAGCATGAGCTCTTCAAAATGCCACCCAACGGAGAGAGCAAACAGCCCAAGGAAGCCACAGTACTCTGGGCCCAGCAAGGCTGCAAAGAAAAGCCCTTATCTGTGGCTTCCCACCCGGCTGTCACAGGATATTCAAGGCATATCCTGTTGATAGCACCTCTATAAAAAGCCTCCCAGGGAGTTTGCTAATGCGGAACAGTTTCTGCAGTATGTACACATACATCCATATACATCCATCTATAACTGCTGCAGTGGGGATCCTAATCTAATAGGAAAGGAAGTGCTGGGATACTGTTCAGGATGAGACATCCATCAGGGTCTGCCCTGACAGAGGAATATGTGATGGGGCTGAGCAGTGCCCAGGCCTGCAGTCAGCATGGGAGGGAGGGAGGGAGCCAGCAGCACCTCCGGTGCTTTCACCCCTCTCAAAGCACTTATCACTAGCTGGCTTTGCAGCAAGCCAGGACATGGGGCTGTCCCTGCCCTGCTACTGTCCATACCCTCACACATGGGCTATTTTTTCTCTCCTGTCACCAGGCAGCAGCAGAGGGCTCTGGTTGAAACATAAAAGCCATTAAAATAAGCAAAAATAAACAACTGGTCCTCTAACAAGACGTCAGGATTTCCCCATCTGACACTTGGCAGCTTCCCAGGGTGGGGATGATGCCATAGCCACTAATCAGTCTTCATCCTGCAGCTCACTCATCCCAGTCCCCAGCCAGTCCATGACCCCTAACGAAGCTGAGCAGCCCCTTTACCCAGCACCCAAATAAAGCCCAGGGGCTGCCACCCTGCAGGGCTGGACAGGCATCACACATGACCACACCAAGCCTGTATTCTCAATGTCTTTGCTGGGCAGGTATAGGATGAAGAACTTAGAATTACAGAATCAATTAGGTTGGAAAAGACCTTTAAGATCATCAAGTCCAATCATTACCCCAGGATTGGCAAGTCATTCACTGCTCTGGGAGCTATTGCTGTTTGCAGGCTCTTCCATGCAGAGATTGGGTTGTTGCAGGGTAATGAGAGTCCAGCCTGGTAGAGGATATCCCACCACGTGTGTCACTTGCAAGGGGCCATGAGCAGCAAAATCAGTTCTCTATGAATACAGTGTGGAGGTCCCTTGTTCCTGTGTCTCACATTACAAGTCCTCTGCAAATATTGAGCCACTCGCTGGGAAATAAACTCTACATCTCATCTCCTGAAGCCAGACCCTTAACTCACCCCACAATTGCACCTCTGCATCATCCACAGCCGGATCTTTGTGTTTCCCTGCAAGCTGCTCTCACTCAGAAGGCAGGTGGGAATGTGCTTCGTGCTTCAGTACCGTCCGAATGAAACACCAGTTAAAAACAAAGCATCAAACCTGCTAAACATCTGCCAAGTGTTTTCATAACATACTTCTGATAGAGATGGCTAGAAATGTGGGAGAGAAACCTATCACTGCCCAAGTGCTCGGAGCAGACCTGTACTTGGGATGCCAGCAGGACACCACAGCCTCTCTGCTCCCCAGGCAGCAGCACACACCAGAGTAGCAAGAGCGGTTTTGCTTTCAGGATCCTCACCAGCATCGCTGCCAGATCACCAAGTCATCTAAAGGCCGTGGCAGTTTCACTGGAGAAAATGTTCTCCAGAAATTAAATTTAACACAAAGCCAGAAACACATCCTGGGATTTATGACCCGGAGAAGCAGAGAGGCACCGGGCCAAGGAACAGATTTGTTCTCTACCTCGCTCCAAAGCTATCACTGCCCAGAGATGGATGTGCAGGAAGGATGTGAGCAGCACAGGGAGGAGCTGCACAGAGGCCGGGATCAGGGCTTGAAATACCAGCTATGGCCTTTGCAGCTGAGGTGCTGAGATGGGACGTACCAGCTCGGTGCAAACAGGCACTGCAAAGTGACCGATGCCTCAGTTTCCTCTTGCACAGGGACCCAGCACCTGCCCCTGCTTTCTGAGAAGAAAAGCAAAGTCCTTTGCAAATGGACCCAAATGCATCCAAAACCTAACTGGATGAAAAGGGCATCAGCATTGAATGCAAGACCAGATCTTCCTGGTGTCCACCTTTACGCATCTGACTCAGCCAGTGCTCTTCCATCACTGGCCAAATATTTGGGATAGAGCCACATTAAAAAACCAGAAATGGGAGCTCTTCCAAGGTTTAGCTGTGGTGTGGAGTTCACCTGAGTCTGATGCCCAGGGCTGCTGCATTCCCAGAAATCAGACTTCGGTCACTGAAGCTTGGGGGTGGGAAAGGAGACCCGTCCAAGCCCAGATCCAAATTGTTCACGTCCAAATCACAGCTCCCACTGCCTGTCTTGGGAAATCTGAAGGTGAGCTGCTGTTCAACAAGCTTAGACAGCAGCTTCCTACAACATGACCGTACACATCCCGCTGGCAGGGCCTGGATCAGCGCCGGTGCGGCCGCCTGCAG